TTCTAACTGAACGTTTCCTTTCTTTTTTGTAGGTCTTTTTAGGTGATTCTTTCAGTTTCCTTAAACACGAATTTGGTAAGGTATTCAATTTTTTTTAACTATTTTTGTTAACAGTTTCTAACAGTTCATTACTTTCTTTTATCTAGACGGTTCTCTTTCTGGTGGGTAATTTTTTTTCATTAATTACTTTAATTTAATGAACTCTATTAATGGTTCATTTTTATCTTAGATTTTGCCGATTCTCTCAAGTGAGTGTCCATTTTTTTTCACTTTTTTATTTCTTCATATTCATTATTAACTTGATTTTCTTTTTTTTTTGTAAATTTTAGGTTTTCTTTCTTTTTTAGGTATTGCCGATTTTCTGGGTGAGTGTACAATTTTATTTTCATTTTATCTATTTGTCTTCATACTAACAATTAATCTTTCTTCTTTAGGTTTTGATATTTCTTTTTTTATATTTTAATGTCTCTTTGGAAATAAAGGTGGTTTTTTTATTGTTTGTTGTTTTTTTTTTCATCTTTGGTACTAAACTACTAAACTTTCTTTTTTTAGATTTTTGTCTTCGTTCCACCCTTCAAATGCATGGGATTTTGGTAAGAAATCGGACAATATTATGTTTCTATATATTTCTTTAACAAAACGTATACTAATGTTTCAGTTTTTTCTTCTTTTAGAAGACCAAGTCTTTGGACGCATAAAAACTCGGTAAGGTGGAAGAATTTTTTTGAACTATTCTTTGAGAAACATTATTAATGTTTCTTTCTCCTTTTTAGGTAACCTATTCTTTGAACTTCCGGATGTGGATTTTGGTGGGCATTTTTTTCTTAGCTATTTATTTTAATGAAACATTTTCTAATGTTTCAATTTTTTCTTCTTTTAGATGGTTCTTCTGGTCTCTCCAGATGCAGCATTTTGGTAAGATTGTCATTTTTTTTCTTAAAATTTTTATTTTGATGAACATTTTCTAACTGTTCTCTTTTACTTTTTAGACAGTTCTTCAACTCTTTGGACGTGGAACTTCAGTGGGAGTAATATCTTTTTGTTTTATTCCGTCTTTTATTATGTCTTTTAAAAACAGTTACTAATTTATATATTTTTCTTTTTTAGCAGCTTAGACACAGATCTTGGTGAGAAATCAACTCTCAGTTAGATGCGTGAGATAGGTAAGTTTCGAAAAAAGGAATTTGAAACTTAGAAAAAAGTTTTTTTTTAAATTTTTCTTTTTTTTTTTGTAGTGAAGTTTGCTCCAGCTTGGAAACCAAAATCCCAAGTTTCAAAAAAAGGAATTTGAAACTTTAGAAAAAAAATTTTTTTAACTTTTTCTTTTTTTAGGGATCGAATGCTTCTTTAGATAGATTTATACGTGATGTGAACTTTAGTATAGATTAATATTGATACAAAATAGATTTAGATTTAGATAGTTAATACAATGAAGCTGTATTATAACTTTGAGTAAACTGTAATATTACTTTAAATAAACAATATTTTTAATTACATATATTAAACAAATATAAATAAATTTGGTACATTTTTGGCAAATATTTGGCTTATAGATGGCTCAACATCAGCATAAATATAGTTAAAATTAGAATGAATTTGGAATTAATTCAGAACGAATCAATTCAAATTTCGTGCCAAACGGGCTCATCCTTGTATATTGTATATTTTAATATATATTTGGTACAAATTTATACAAAAACTATTTACTGGGATAACTAATAGCAAAGATTTATAACATCATATCTTTTTGATATATTTTTCTAACCAAATTGTTATTTAAATAGTGTTGAAAAATAGTTGGTTATACAGAAAACAATCCATAAAATTGAAAATACAAATACTAATTAAAGTTATAATTATTGCTGAAGCTAAGAAATTAAAGGTTACACTTGTTATAGTTGAAATAATTTGATTTGCTGTCAGTGTCATTTTTACTGCTAATACAGTTTCGGTTAATCAAATTTTTTTTTACTAATGTTGTGTCAGTTCTTATGTGCTTAAAAATAAGCGGTATATTTAGTGTAAGCAGAAGGATCGGTAGGGTCGGAAATTAATAGGATCGACGTAGATCTTATACTAATTCAATTAATTCAATGTAAATCTTAACAAAAATCGATCAAATGCGAATATGGTATAGCTCTCCAAATAGCCTATACGATCAGACGCAAGTAAGGGATTAAACTAACCAAATATAGACAATGAATAAGAATAAAGTGTATAAGAAATAACAACACGAAAATAAAGGGTATATGGGTTTTTAATTAATTTTATTAAAGATTTTTAAGAACTGTTCTAAAGAACTACTTTTTTATAATGCGCATTTACACTGTCTTTTTATAACAAATTTTTACTAAGAAAAATAATATCTAATATATTAAATTTATGCTACATATGCTATACATACTATATATGCTATATATGCTATATATGCTATATATATTATCTATATATACTATTTATTCTATATGTTCTTTATATACCATATATTCTATATATCAGACATATGTAATATATCGAACATATTCGACATTAGAGGTCTGCAAATGGGACCCAGAACCCAGAAACCCTAGACCCGGATCCGGGTTTGGGCCGGCAAATTTTATTCAAAATTCACCCGGGCCAGGTCCGGGCCGGCACATAAATTTTCAATAAACCCGGATTTTCGTAATTTCGGCCAAAATCGTCTTAATTCCGGCCAAAATTAAACTGGCCAAAATTAAGTTGGCCAATTTTTTTGTTTTTACAACAAAATGATATAATAATAATAGAAGTCCGGGTCCGGTCTGGGCCAGGTTTTTGATATATTAAGTCCGGGCCGGGCCGGGCCGGGCACTTTATGTTAATTCCCGAGTGCGGGCCGGGCCGGGTTGTAAAATAGTGGTCAATGCAGACATCTATTCGATATCTACTACATTGATCAGCATCACGGGACCCGTTATATCACGTGATTGCTGCGTAACATTTTACTGCGTAACACTAATTAACGAAATAAGCTTACTAGTCATATTTTATTTTCAGCAAAGCCTATCTGTTAAAGTAAATGAGCAGTTCTTATAAATCAGGAAATTTATAATTTTTTTAAAAAAATATCAAATTTATTTTTTTTTTTTTAAATGAAATATATTAAAGCTTTATGTAAAATATAACATCTAATTTGTTAAGTACGAAAGTTCCTGAGCATGTAATAAAATTTATAGGTAGTACAAAAGGTTCAAATTTTGCCGTCTATTAAAATAGTAAATTTAATACGTGAGGAAAAACTTTCGCTCGGCTTTTAGACGTAATTTCATAGTTGTCATAATTAAAATGAATAATTTTTTAAGAAAATCTGCAAGAAATTCTTTTGATTTTAAATCTGTACTACTTTAAATTATATAGTTGTATGAGGATTTTTAAATTAATTGGGTAGCAATCACGTATGGTATGGTTCTTTACGCATGTACTGTATAGTTTGTATGGTTTTGCGAGGTGGTGAGAGGAAAAGTAGTATAGTGATTTTAAATAAAAAGATTTTTTTTTCATTTTTTTTTAGATCGAAATTTTTTTTTAATTATTATATAGTTTATTTTTTTATTTTATTTTTTTCCGAGTTTTTATAAACTGTATACTGTAAGTTATTTTTAATATTTTTTCACTGAAATTTTAATATTTTTTTTTTTTTTTTTGAATAAATATGTTCAGTTTATATAATCTTTAGTTAGAATATTATATATTTTTTCACTTAGTAAAAATGAAAAAACATATCCAGCCAAAAAAAAAAAAAAAAAATTTTTTTAATTAATTAGTATAATTAATACTTATTTTAATATTGTACTTTTTCTATTGGCAAGTGAATTTTAATTATAATTTCTCGTAAGATAAAATTTATAATTTTTCATGTTTATTGTTTAAGACTCAAAAGGTAAATAGAACTAATAAATAAATAAATAAATATTAAAACTTGATTTGAAAAGCATTATCTTGTGAATTCATAATAAATGATATTTTTTTGGAAATCGAACTTTAATTAATCAGCTATTTACGTTAATCCTCCTCTTATCCATTTAAAAATATATCTTTTTTTTATTTTCTCGAAGCTCAATATTTTAATTACTATTATTTTAATCGATATTATACTAATAAAATATATATATTAAACTGTATGTAATGACTTATATATAGTGTGATCCTATAAATACTTTAAAATATAAATAATTATTTTATTAAATATAACTATGGGATGTATGAGATGGATATAAAATTTTAAACTCATCTATCACTCCTTCATTAACATATTTTCTAGCAATTTCTACATGATCATCTGTAATAAAAATTTCATATGTAATTCCAAAAAGAATTAATTTATGATTCCTACAACTTTCAAGAAATCTTTTAAAAATATCAATTGAATATTTCCAATTTCCACTAAGTATTAATTTATTTAAAGATTTTGGTGAATAATCAATTAAATAATTTAATATTTCATCACCTATAATATCATTTTCATAACATATACTATCAAATTCTATACATATTAAATTTCTACAATTTAATAATATTGATTTAATAAGAATAAATTCTTTTGATGTAATACCAATGGATAAATCTCTAACTTTTGGACAATTATTCGCAATTGAATTAATAAAAATTTCCAAATTATTAGTATTAACATATTTAGTAATTATAGAAATTTCTAAAAGGTTCTCTTCAGTATTTTTAATTAACGTTGCTAATTCTTTAAAACAAGATAATCCATAAACGTCAAGAATTTGAAGGTTTGAAAATTTTGAATTTTCTAAATATTGACGAAATCTTTTAATCTCTATACTATTAATATCATAAAGTTCAAAATTATAAATTAATAAATTTTTTAAATTAACGAGTGATATTAACGGAATAATGTTAATTGAATATAAACTAAGATCATTTATTGTATTACCCTTTCTTCCCAATACTTTTCCTAACTCCTTACAAGTTCCCGCTTTACTATCAGGATAAATTGATACAATTTTTAAATTCTTTTGAGAATCAATTAAAGAAATTAAACCTGAATTATATTGAGAACAATTATGAATAATTAATTCATTTAAATAAATACAAAATTTTGCCATTTCATGAAGTGTGTTAGGTAATATACAATTAATTGTAATAGATAATTTTTTAACATTATAAAAGAATGTTGAAGCTCCTTGAAATAATGATAAAGGTTGTGATGTATATAAATCCATTTCTTTAATATTTTTACATTCATTAACAAATAATTTGTAAATTTCTTGTTCTAAAAGTTTTCTTTTATCATCTTTAAATTTTTTATCCTTAAAAAATTTTGTTATAATTCCATCTATAGTCCTAGATTCAAGAATTTTACAAAAACTAATATAATTAAATGTTAATGATTTTGAAATAATTGTTGAAGGTAATTTAATATTATTATCATTTAAAAATTTCTTTGATGATGATGATAAAGATGAAAGTATTATATTATAAAACTTTTTTTCTGCTTCATCATGATAAAAATTCCATGTATGTTTTTCCCATAAAATAGGAACAACTAAAAGACACCACCTTTTATTAACTAAAAGGCATGAATATAAAGTTTCTTTATCTTTTCGTAATTCGTTAAAAATAAGATTAAGACAATCAATATTTAATTCTGTCATATTATATATTTGTTCAAAAAAAATTAAAAGAAATTAAACGATGATTTTTTTTATTTATAATAAAATTTAAGAGATTCACATACAAATTAGGATAGTCATTTATTATTTTTGACACGTAATAAAAGTGGTGTTACATACGTTTCTTAATCCTATTGACGATCTTTGTCAAACCCAAACTGTGTTAGCCTAGAAGTCTAGAACGTTTCTCATAGTAAACAAACAATATAACGTTGTTTTATATAAAGGAAAATATACAGTATTTTTACCGAATTGACCATATTTAATTTATTTATTTATGCACATTTCTGTAATTGATCATATTTAATCCCCAAAAACGGTTAATAAAAGCGCAAATATTTGTATAATAAAAAATTCGTTTCAAAATTCAAATGGGTATAATTAATCCATTTGAAATCGGACACATTTTTTTTTGTAACCATCTAATTCCGTTGTTTTCCGATAGTTTTTTTCCATAGATTTAACAGAGAATAAGCAACGTTTAGATTGTACAAAATATAATAGAGTCATATACAATATAATGTAAATGATCATCATTAATGGAAAAGTGACGTCCAACGTTTTCCTGAGACGATAATTATGACGATTTATGATTGAATATGAAAAATTATGATACTGTAAATCGGTTAATAAAGCCAACAATCCACGAAAGTGATAATAATATTATTTGGTGACTCAATTCTTACAGAATAATTTTCTTATATAAATACGAATCTATAAAAAAAAAATATTTTTCCGTATTCGAAATTTCGAATAATATCTGATATCATATTTTATAATCAAGGAAATTAAAATCTTCCTATTAATTCGTAATTTTTTAATATCATCGAAATTTAACAAAATTAAAACATGACTGATAATACTGATTCTATTAATGTGATGACTGCTGATACAAAATCTGGTATCTCATATCTTTTATTAAATAATGGATCGAATGTATTTTAATTTATTTTAAATTATTTTTCGTGATAAAAATATATATATTTTTCTCTTAATATAATTGTACTCATAGATGAACTTAATTCTGGGAAGTGCAGTTGTGTGAATCAACGTCATATGATTAAAGAAAAATATGAAGAATATTATGGATACTACCAAACCTTCAAGGTGAATTTTAAATAAAACAAAGTTTTATTTTATTTATAATAGTTTGATATATATTAAATTTTTTGAAATTATAAAGGATAAAGTTGTAACTTTTATAAGAGAAAGCGTTGGTAGACAAAATATTACCGTCGATGATGAAAGCAAGAAATCTAGTAGCAATGTTACTTCTTCAAAATGATAAATTCTTAAAATGATATTTTTTTGGGCTGCCAAAAAAAAAATAAATAAATTAAAGAAAAAAAATATATTAAATAAAAGGTCTTATAACTATAACATATAATTCATATTATTTGCAATAACCGCATCGTATTGTACATTTTGCGCAACTGCGGCTACTGCGCCTAAATTTAATGGTCAAATGACGATGAAGGAAAAAATTTTTTTAATCGTAAAAAAAGAAAGTAAAGAAAAATAAAAATACTATTTATAGAGTTAAATAAACGCGTGCTAAACAAAATTCTTTAAAAACTTATGATCATTAAAATTGAATTACTACATGTGAAAATACTACATGTGAAAATACTAACGAATAACGATCAAATTTAAAATCGGAAAGAACTAATTTATTCAACAACCAGTAATTCAAATTCATAATACAAAATCATTTCACTATGAATTCCAATTTCACAATTTGAATCCATTATCACTTCTTCATAAATATATTGACAAAAAGTACTCTCTGAGCAACTGTAATATTATTACTTTTATTACTTTTATTAAAATCAACGATCCCAAAAAAATTTAAAGTTCAATTTCGATAACTTTCAAATATTCTTTCAAAGGCTTTTGTCGAATATTTCCATTTCCCACTTAATGATATTTTATCTAATTATTCTAGAGAAAAATTAGAAAAAATATCCAATAACTCATCCCCATTCATATTCAAACTTGAATCAAACTATTCAACACTATGGAAGATAAATTTCTACAATTATTGAGTAATAATGATTTTACATGAATAAAATCTTTTGGTCCACGATATGTTGTTAATTCTTCAACTTTTGGACAATGTTTAGCAATAGCTTTAATTAATATTCCAGCATTGTTAGCTTTCTTAATTAAAAGATCATTAGAAATTTTTATAATATTTCCTTTTATCTTTCCAATCAACATCGCCAATTATGATATTTCTTTTAAATTAAGAATTTGAAGATCTGGAAATTCTGAAATTGCGATTTTTTGTCGAATTATTTCATTATCTTCATCGTGAACATTATTTGAACCAATCTTCAGATTAATTAGTGACGTTATGATTGAAGGTATAATAATGCTAACTGAACTCAAAAGAAGTTTAGTTATCGTATCGTTTTTTTCTAATGCTTTGATTAATTCTTTACAATCAAATTTCCTATTATTATAAATTAATACTTCTTTTAAATTTCTTTCTGCATTAATTAAAGAATTTAATCTTTAGAATATTCACATATAATTAATATATTTAAAACTTTTGTAAATTTTTGCCATCTCATAAAGTGCGTCAGAATTTACAAAATCTGCCATAATAATTAAACTATGTAGTCTAGGAAAGTACCTTGAAGTCCTAGGAAAGAATGACAAAGGTTGTGAGTCATTCCATGATAATTCTTCGATATTTTTACATTGACTAACAAATAATTTATAAATTTTTTGTTTTAAAATATATCTTTTTTCATATATTTTCGTAATTTCTTCCGCATTATATTTATATACCATTAATGTCATACTTTCTACAATTTTCAGTACTTATAAATTTACAGAAACTGATATAATTAAATAATGAAGGTTTAAAAGAACTGTCAAGGGTAACTTGATGTTATTATCAGATAAAAGTTTTTTTGAGGATGATGGTAAATAAACTAAGTATCATGCTAAAAAACTTTTTTCTTGATTCTTCACCATGACGATACTGTGAATAATTTTTCCATAATATGGGAATTACTAATTGGCACCACTCTTTACTAACTAAAAGGCAAGAGTGTAAGGATTGCTTATCACCCTGTAGTTTATTGAAAATAAGTCTAAGACAATCTAAGTTAACATTAATCATTTTCTATAAAAAAATCGATGAAAAAGATATTTTTTTCTTTTTTTAAAAAAAAGGAAAAAGAAAAAGTAAGTCATTTTATATACCAATAAGTCGTACGAAACCCACAAGATTTATTTTATTTACACGGATAAATATAACAATAAAAGGCTTTTTTTTTTATTGAAAATACTGGCTTATAAATAATGCCGCAGATTATCGCAAATTTGTAATAAATTCTAATTTTTGATTTTTTTGATTGGTATTTAACCGTTTTCGGATCGATTGGATAAGGCCGTGTATAGCAGTATAACAATTTTTTTTTATCCTCGCCTATGGGAGTATGGGCGAAATTTTGACAATCATCACGTGGCTTAAACACGTGCAGAAATCTTATTGGTCATGAAATCAATTTTTTTAATTTGACTGGTTTCCGTTCACTTCGATAATAAAAAAAAATAATTTTTTTTTTTAATTTGGGAGAATGGACACGAAAGATAAAAACCTTTCACATAATTATTATTAACTGTCATTTAGTTTTCTGGAAAATTATCACTATCCAGTCTATCCATGCTTGTATATTTTGTTCTTTTAACATAATATTTACCAAAAATAATTTTACAAGTTGAGAGAATGGTCTGTTATAAAGTTATAAACTTATAATATGTTAGCTGGTCTCCTGATTTTCTTTTTATTTAAAAAGAGGTGGCATTTTTTTTTAAAAAAAAAAAATTTAAACAAAATGTCCTAATATAAATCACATTATTCAATTTATTAAAATTTTTCGCGAGAAAATTACGTTATCGCATAATAAAGCCGCATATTTTTTATTGGTTGAATGGTAACAACCGTAACATACTCCTAAAATACCCATACAAAATCAGCCGAGATTTGACAAACTACTATAAATAGTAAACCTTTAAATTACGATATAATCCATATAAAAATCGGTATACAAATTGAAAATTAGATATATTTAGAATTTACAATAAATTTTTGATGATTATGAATGTTATGCACCATAAAATCTATCGATAAAAAAAATTTATTCATAAATTGTCATAAATTGTCACAGATTGTATTCTTTAATTATGATTATTATTTTTTTTTAATTGAATCGACAATATTTTTCTAAATTAATTTACTTTCGACTTGAATTAAATAAATTACTAATCACTAGCGGAGAAAATCAAAATTTTGATTTTTATTAACTACAGTATATTATGGTCGCCTACGAAATAATTAATTTTTAGAAAATTAATTCGCAATTCGCGAGAAATGAAAAAGATTTTCGTCAAATTTACTAATAACCAGCGGGCATTTTACATATTTTTATACATATTTTATTTGTAATTAAGCAAAGCAGCTCCTAGCCCATATTATAATAATTTTAATTATAATATATAATTTGGCCACCACTGATTTCAAAGAATGAGTTCTTAATTGTTAAAAAAATACAATATGCCCAAATATGCTCCAGCCGATGATTTTAATAGTAAAATTTAACGAATATGTCTAATTTCGTAATTTCAGCTCTCATTTAAAATTTGCAATTTTGAAGATACCTTTATGATTTTTTAATGAGAGATATTCAGAAAGTCAAGAATTTGTTTGGTACTTTTAAAAGTTCGAAATTACAATAAAACTGTTCTCGCGAATTACGAATTAATGTTTCGATACTCTTGTGATTGTACTATTTATATTTTCATGTTAAAAATAAATCTTGATAATATTTGTTGGTAAAAAACCGAATTACACGATCGTTAAGGATTAGGTGTAAAAAAAAAAATAAATTCATAAAGTTCAAGAACAATTTATTAATATGATGAGTATTGAATCTGGGTAGCAATTTATGGAATTTGCTGTATTGCTGTAACCCACAAAAAAGTCATAAACCAAAAGAATAAAACAATGGTATAATCCTAATAGTATAAGGCGTAGTTGACATGAAGTATAAATAAAAAAAAATTTCAATAAGATAAATAAATTCGAATATATTTTGTAAACTTAAACAAATACTCGAGTATACTCGATTTTAATCATTGACTAAATCATAAGTAGAATCTTAATTTATATGTGAAACTCGATATATTAGATTTCTTGATATCAACGGATTTTGAAAACCTTATAAATAGAACGGACAAGGGATAACAACGCTTAATATTGAGGAGCATAACAAAATTAAAGTAATTATTTAATAAAATCTTAAAGTATACAAGAAGATTGAATAATATTTTTTTTTAAAAAAAAATAGTAAAAAGAAACTTAACGTATTTTTTATTCAAAGAATGCCAAAAATAAGGTAATAAATATTTTGGAATGGCACTATGTCTTTGGCCAGAATTACTGCTGTTTCACAATGAAACTAAAATTTAAAAAATAAAAAAAATTCTTGTTCTTGCTACGCGTGAAAAGAATGATAAAAGCATACTGTATAGAAATTTAATTTAAATATAATCTAAAACCCGCCTCACGTAAATGCTGTAAGGTCTACCATATTGAATTTTTTTTTAATAAAATAGAAACTAAGGACCAACTAAAGTTAATGAGGTTTAGTAATAGTCGTGTGATCATCGATCGTTTTGAGGAGCTTGGATCGGAGTAAAAATAGATGAGGTCTTGGCGTTTATTGGTCAAAGTTCTAACTTTTTGATGTCTTTAGGAGTATCTAAGTCCTCAATGCTGAACTCCATAGTTATGGTCGAAAGAGGCAAAAGGAATCTTGGGAGTGTCTAATAATTGTATTCTTGAATTTTGATAACATTAGTGGAGGGCCCCTCCTTCAAGGACTTTATCTGTTTCAAGCGGGGCGAGGAGATAAATGATGTTGCGAAGTCTGGCCAATGGATGGTATTACAACTTTTAGCGATCATTTCACCGTCAGTAATGAACTTGTTTAGATGTATGTTGACGTATGTTAAGTTTGTTTTAATCGAAATGATAAATGAGTTTTTAACCTAAATAAATTATTACATAATAGGTATTTACGCTTGATAAGATTTGAACAAATATTATTTTGGGTGAATGATATTTGATGGAGAATTGTGAACTTGCTAATAATGTAATTATCGATCCCGGTGGAGTTGTTGTTTAATAGTTTTTGAGTTGTATTGTTTTACGGGTGCAAGTTTTCAATTAGAATATACTTTACAAATAATGTAACGTCAGTCATGTATGTAATGCCTTACGGGAGGTTTATAGATGTTATTATTTACCTATTTGTCATAAGTCGACTGTAAGGCTTGTTCATGTTGTTTGTTTGTATCGAAGAGGTTTAGGTAAGTGGTTTGATATCTTGACGGTGGAAAATTTTTTGATGATTGCAACACCCTCAACGTGCGTGCCCAGATAACACGATTAGAATTGGAATACGAGAAATTAAACAAACATATATATATATATATAGAGTATATTAGGGATCGGAAAAGATTCGATTAAAATCGAAACTATCGAAAATCGATAAGAATCGATTTTAAATCAAATCTCGAATAAAAATCGAATCTACTTATTGTGGCGCAGTTTCGTTAATTTGACCGTAAATTATTATTTGTTCATAATAGTTAATTTTGGCCAAATTCATAATTCCGCCCGCAAATCACGTGACGGAACACAAACTTCCTAAAAAGGAAATTTTATCTCCCAATAAAATTCAAGTTGCTATGATGCTATCGCACAAGGTTGTACAAATACCCAAAAAAGGAAATTTGTTCGTCGATCACTGTAATTTTGTAATCACGTGATATGTGTTTAAACACACCTATTATAAATAGTATAAAAAAAAATCGGTATTTGCGAAACGATTAATCGCGATTAATCGATTTTAGAATCGATTCTAATAATGGGAATCGATTCCAATCCCTAGAGTATATAAGTTCTCGTGATACAAATATTTTTTCGAAAGATGTTGAACCATTTTCTACAATAGTAATACGCTCTAAAGTTCAATTTCTAATAAGGAAAAGATGAAAAGTATTTATTTTTATACGTTTGGTATTACTTTTGAAGTTTGAAAAAATAAGAAGTGTACTAATGCAGTATTTATTATTGGATTTTGATTTATACAAAAACAAGAAAGTGTGTCCTATTTTCGTTTGTATAGCTTTAAATGTAAAATTTGTCTAACTTGAAAAAGTAACTTTTACTCTAACCGAGCATAGTCACGTGAAATCAAACGATTACGTGGGTATGTAACACAGTCAACACGATTATAAATGAATGAATTTTTTTTTGTCCCAATTTAAAAAATTACAAACCCTTCTTTAGTGAAAATAACCCATGTCGCAACTTCCTGCTGATTGTTTAAATGAGATTATTGAATATTTAAAAGATGATAAAATTACTTTGTGTTCATGCTTATTAGTAAACCGACTTTGGTGTGAGACTTCAGTAAGAACTTTTTGGAGAGATAGTGGGAATTATAATATTCGACATTATAGAACTTTAATTGCTTGTCTACTAAATGAGTCAAAAAAAATTATATATGATAAAGGAATTGTTATTTCATCTCCAACTTTAAAACTTTCGATATTTAAATATGAAACGTTTTGTAAAATATTATCAATTAGTCGAGTCTATAAAAAATTGGAGAACTTCTTGAAGAAACTCGTCCAATTATTTTTAATCCTGGAATTGTCGATTACATACAAATAGTGGTACTAAATTGTTTATGATGCAGATCTCTTCATTAAAATACTTAGAATTATACTCATATCGAAAATACCAAAAATTATCCTTTATCCTGAAATAAAAGATTGCTTAAAAAATCTTTCAGAATTTCAATGTAGTTCAAATATTTCCCCCGAATTTTTTATCAATTATCTCAAATATGTTTCAATATATTATTTTTAAATATAAATATTGAAGATCATATTATTTCGAATGAATTTACAGATTTAATTTCTGCTCAGAAGAATTTAAAGTATTTTTGTTTGACACAACATCGAAAATATGAAGATAAAAATTTTACTTCCTCAATAACAAATAATCTAATTGGATTAAATCTTTATGATGTAAATTATATTTCATTATCATTTATCACCAATTTTCAAACTTACAAGTGCTTAGATTATTATTCAAATGTGAACAAGACTATGTAGATTTGATAAACTATCATACGCTAATTTTCCTCAATTACAAATTCTTAAAATTAGAAATATATGTTCAAAATGTAAGTCATTAATAAAATTCTTAGAAAACAATGGGAAAAGTTTAAAAGAATTTTATTTAAGCGAAGATCATGTTAGATGTCATAATTATAATTCACTAAATTTGGCTATAGCAAATTTCTGTCTTAATATTAGAAAACTTTTTGTTGGGTTTAAACATGATAATGAATTGGAATCATTAAAAACAGTTTTAAATAGTTGTCAATATTTAGAAACTATTAATGTACAGGATCATCTTTGAGCGAAAAGGAAGCATTGGAGGCAGTTGTTAAATATTCGCAAAATATTCATGAAATAATATTATATCATACATCTGATGTAATATCAAAATTACTTCAAGAGGAATTGGAGGCTTTTTTTGTAAGTTGGATAAACCGTATAACACAAAAATCACTTTCTTTGGCGATCGTTACAAATAATGATCATGATTGTATAATACATAGTTTAGATAAATGTGATAAAAATATGGAAATAATTAATGAATATATTAAATTAGGAGTCATTAAGAATTTTAAAATTGCAGAGTTTGATAATGGTGGATTTATTTTTTAGTATCGTATTTCTTAATTTTTAGATTTTCATGTATTCATTTTTCTTTGATAATAAAGTTCTCATTTATACTATTAAATTCTCATGTGTTTATTTATAAATTGGTTATATTAACCGTAGTCAAGAAGATTCAAGGTGCCAGCCTTGTATTTAAATTTGAATATTTTATTTTTATTTGTATTTTCAGCGTGAACAAAGTTACAGTACGCTAGAATCGAAAAAATAACTGCAAACCAAACCGCATAATGGCGGTGTCAACTTGGTTGCAAAAAAAGAAGCAACTGCCCGAATTGAGGTTAAAAAAGTAAAGAGAAAATAAAAAATAAAACAAAAACTATGATCAAATGTTATTAAAACATGAAATATCATAAAAAATAGTAGAAATGTTTATATCTTCAAACAATAAAGAATCTCTATGATTTTATCAAGCACCTGAATGTAAAAAATTACTAGAGGTCCATCTAATGTGGGTTTTCATATCTATATGGCAATTTTTGTCTATGATATGATGAATGTGATATATTATTGTTGACGTTACGTGAACGTGATCGGGATGCATTAGAATTTGATATTTGAGTATCGCGGTTATTCTTGAAGTAATAGTGATATCTTTTCTTCTTTTTGGTAATTCCGTCCTTGTGATAATTCCCATGATTTGAAAAGTTTAGTACGTTCCACCCAAGTTATTTGTGTAAGATCATGAATAAATTGTTTGGTGTATTCTATGAATAAAGGATCTCTCATTTTCCTATATAGTTATAGAATAGGCTACTAGTAGTTAATTCTGATTGTACTAAATTGTAGAAAAGGAGTATACATGGATGAGCGCTAATAGAAAGACTATTAGGGAAATTGGTGTCCTCCTTGAAATTGAAAAGTGGTGATGTATTGACACACCTTGGTATCTTTGTAGTACTATTTTGATATTGTTGTAGTGTTGGGGCATAAACCATAATATAAATAAGGTATTTGGTTTGGTTTCTAAGGTGAGCAAAATAAATATAATTTAATTAAAATGTATATATATAGTTGTGTTAATATATGGCGTTGAACAACAATGCATAATGTATTGAACTACACCCACATAAAATCATTGGCTAGTTTACATTCCATACATGGTATGGGTTGTGTTTGGATCTAACCGTAACCACTTGTGCGTTGTTGTATTCTGTGTAAAATGGAAGTTAGAGTAATCATTAAATTCCTGTACGAGGGTAATTAATTTTGTTTTGATAGAATCTTTGCAGGTAAGGGCGTGATTGATTTGTTGAATGGTAAGTTGGAGGTTGCGTGATGGAACTTCGGTGTGTGATAAGTTAATGGGTTGAACATGAATAGGAAATTTATTGTTAATAAAAGGAAATTTTCATAAGCTAAATGTCTAGGATTGAAGAAATTTTTGTGTGTGTTTGAAAATTAGTTTTATTGCTGATGACACATTTGGGTCGTAAATCTTGACATAAGTATTAAGGCTGTTGCCGTGATGTTAAAGAAGGATCATGTAGTAAGGTGTCAGAAGTGTTCTAAATTAGTGTATCTTGTGATAACGTTTTTCCAAAAATCACCATCTTCAGTTGATTGTTCCAGTGTAATGTCTATTCCCTAAATCCTGTTCCAATTTTAGGCGCTTTGTGCGTACGATTGATTATTGAGATTGAATCTTGATAGACGTCGATAATTGCTTAAGGTATAGTTGTTTTTAAATTACGAAATCACTTCAGTATTTTTCCTGTGAAGTTGTTTAAGTTGTTGCGTTTTACTCCTTCCCATGCCAATAAATATTGACCATCCAGCGTCGGTGGTAATTTGATCCATAAACATAATGTTTTTCTTTTCTAAAGATCTTAGGTCTTTGTTAGATAAATTGTCTATATAATCTCGTATAGGAGTATTGCCAGTTTGCCACCTATTAAGTTAGTATTAAATGTTAGGTCGATGATGAAGCAATATTGATTTATTAATGTGAGACTTTAGTAGTTAAATATGAAAGTTTGATAATGGTAGAAGAGTAATTGTTAATGTTTCGTAGGATAGCAGTATACCATAATTCATGTTGGAGAATATCTAATTTTTGTAATGTGATAGGACGTAATAAAGGGGTGTTGAATAGTGTTAAAAGTATGTTTAATAGTGATTTAACTTGAATCAATTTCCTGGAGAAACAATTGAATATTTTAGTGCCAATACTATTGAAGAATAAAGAAATTCTGAACATCAGTATCCAATAGAATTTCCTAACTCTTTCACTCTTCCCTCGTAAATTGTCATTAAAAGTAGAGTCTCCAATTATATTAGGGCTTCGTAATGGAACTAGATTAATTTGTCATTCCTTTCAAAATCGTGTTTTTAAAACAGAAATCATTTCTGGAAAACATACTGGATTTCATGCTTCTATTCCATGTATTACTCTATCATTTTCAAATTCCAATTTGCAATTTACTTTTAAACAGTGCCAATTTCCAGTTTAACTTGCATTTGCTATAACTATTAATTAATCTCAAGGACAAACATTAAATTAGGTTCAATTATATCTTCTAATTCCTGTATTTACACATAAGTTACCTGTTCAAGAGTAACATCAAAAAAAATTAAAAATCCTTATGATTAAACAGCAGTTAGATGAAGATAATGGAAATTTAATTAAATGTACTTGCAATGTTGTATATCCAGAGATTATTCAATAATAAAAATTTTATTATTCATATTATTACCCAAATACACTTTTTAAGCTGTATTAACTGACCGTTTATGTAATTGACAGGTGCATACTAGTTGTTATTAAAATGGTTGGAAGGTTTCTTTGAAAAACTTCCTTTCTTGTATTTTAAAAAGACAATGATATACAATTTCATATTATACAAATTTCTCAGTCTAATTATTGTATTAGATCTAATCAGTTTTTTTTCAACCTAAAATATTGTTAATATTACTGTAAATAAAATAAATATAAGTTTTATGATATTTCTTTTATATGCTACTGTACATTTAGTTTAGTTTAAAGTGCATTGTCTATTATTAAAGTTTGTTTAATAAAATGTAACAAATAGAAACTTTAATATTTATAAACTTTTTAGTGTTTTTTATTAATAAAATTATACATATTTATAAGTTATATAACTGGTAATTTCCACAACTAGTGAGTGTTAAAATTACTTTTTATTTTTTGAATTTAGGACAATAAAAAATATAAATTTTGCTCTAAATTCATTTTCTAGTTTATTTGCATATCATTCTTCTAGTAAATTAAACTGTGCAATAATGATCATTTCTAATATTTGCAGCAGTTCAAATGCTTTTTATCTGTTCCTATATTATATTTATGACAATTACTTAAATCAATTTGTCCTTTCCTTTTTCCATTTTCAGCAGATTTTAAATACCATTCAAATGCTTTTGTTTCATTTTTATCTGTTCCTATACCATTCAAATAACAATTACCTAAACTAAATTGCCCATTACTATTTCCATTTTCAGCAGATTTTAAATACCATTCAAATGCTTTTGTTTCATTTTTATCTATTCCTATACCATTCAAATAACAATTACCTAAACTATTTTGCCCTCTACTATTTCCATTTTCAGCAGATTTTAAATACCATTCAAATGCTTTTGTTTTATTTTTATTTGTTCCTATACCATTCAAATAACAATTACCTAGACCAGATTGTCCATAACTATTTCCATTTTCAGCAGATTTTAAATACCATTCAAATACTTTTGTTTTATTTATATCTGTTCCTATACCAAGTTTATAACAATTAGCTAAAATTAATTGTCCAAAACTATTTCCATTTTCAGCGGATTTTAGGTACCATTTAAATGCTTTTATTTCATTCTTATCTGTTCCTATACCCTTTTTATAATAATTACCTAAAATCAATTGTCCATAACTATTTCCTTTTTCAGCAGATTTTAAATACCATTCAAATGCTTTTGTTTCATTCTTATCTGTTCTTATACCATTCAAATAACAATAACCTAAACTAAGTTGTCCACCACTATCTCCATTTTCAGCAGATTTTAAAAACCATTCAAATGCTTTTGTTTCATTTTTATCTGTTCCTATACCATTCAAATAACAAATACCTAAATTAAACTGTCCTTTACCATTTCCATTTTCAGAAGATTTTGAGTACCATTCAAATGCTTTTGTATTATTTTTATCTGTTCCTATACCAAAATAATAACAAGTACCTAAACTATTTTGTCCATAACTATTTCCATTTATAGCAGATTTTAAATACCATTCAAATGCTTTTGTTTCATTTTTATCTGTTCCTATACCATATTTATAACAGCAACCTAAATTAAATTGTCCATAACCATTTCCATTTTCAGCAGATCTTAAATACCATTCAAATGCTTTTATTTGATTTTTATATGCTCCTGTACCATTCAAATTACACATATTAAAGTTGATTTGTGTATTTCCATTTTCAGTTGATATTAAATAGATTGTATTATTATAATTCTTATTATTTAGATTTGATGCTAAAATTATACTTATACATAAAAGATGCAATAAAATATATTTAATAATTTTGTTATTTGTAAGTATACTATTACTATAAGGATTTTTCATTAATGAAATTGAATTATTAGTATTCAAATTATTAAAATTATTTATCATATTTCTAAATTGTACTTTGCTATTGAATTGTAATTTACTGCTTTCAATCCAATTTGCTTCTTTTGATACATTTGAATCTAAAATTAAAAGTAAATTTAATAAAATATGTTAACAAATAATATATGAAAATATTATTTTACTTACCATTTGGTAAATCCAAATTTTCTATGTTACTATCGTGACAAGCAACTTCTGTTGATATAATTAAATTATTAGTATTATTCATATTACCAAGATACTGTTTTGTTACAACTTTAATTTGTTCATTATTAATTAATTGTGAATTTAATTGAACTAAAACCATATAAACTTCATCAATATCAGGTCTTTGATTTGGCTCTCCATTCCAACAGGTTTCATAAAGTTCTTTATATTTAATAGGTGTATCTTCAATTGATACTTCTCTTTTTCCTCTAATAATTTCTAAATTAATTCTAAGTACAGGAATTTTAGAAAAGGGAGGTGTACCACTTGAAATCTCCCAAAGCAACACACCTAAACTATAAATATCTGATTTCTTATTTCGTTTATAATTATTCTTTATATAGCATTGTGGATCAATATACGCAGGCATTCCTAAAAGTATGGAGTTAGATTTAATTTCTGTTAAATGTTTAGATAATCCAAAGTCTGCAATCATAAGACTACCGTTATTAACTAATATATTTTTAGCATGCTATAAAAATAAATGTCATTAATTATACTAAGTATAATAAATTTAGACAATATTGTAAAGTGAATTACCAAGTCTCGATGGATTATTTGTCTGGAATGCAAATACTTTAATCCACATGTAATATCTAATGCCATCTGAGATTTATCCTTCCAATGAAGTGAAAGAAAATCTTTTTCTAAATATTCTCTCAAATTTCCTTGATTTGCATATTGTAATATAATAATGTGATCATCATGTACTGGATCTGTAATAAAAGAATAGAAAAAAATATATGTATATGCAATAACCATTATTAAATAAATATTATGAATATCATTATTAAATAAATATAAACCTTTTGTGACTCCAAGAAATCGATTAATATTAGGGTGAACGTTAACTTGGTGTAAAAGTTTGAGCTATGTATCATAAAAAAAATTACATTATTCTTTGTTATATTTATTTTAAGTGTACTGTATTAATATTTAAATACCTCTTTAATAAAATTTTCCATTTGATTTTCATCAATTGCCAAGTTAATCAAGGGGCTTTTTAATGCAACCTTAATTCCACCATCTATCCAATTGGCACTTCTTACAATCCCAAATCCTCCTTTTGCAATATCTTCTATATCACTAAAGTTATTATATTCAAAATATTTGATAACTTCATCATTTACTTTCATATCAATCCATTCTTTTAATTTTGTCATCTTTAAGAAAATAGTAAAAAATTTTTTAATGTATTACCGAAAGGTTGCTTTTATATTTGAGAAACGCAATTCATAAATAATATAAATAATACACAACAGTACCCCCTGGTTTTATATGACGCATGAAATTTATTTATACAGTTTACAGTAGGATCGACATCGTGCATCCGCGCAAAAAAATATTATATTTAACGATCATGCATGTTGATCAAAATTTTGATACTATATAGTACAAAAAAAAAAAATACTATAAATAGTTATCATATATTCATCTAAAAAAAAAATTTTTGGATAAAATTTCTTAACTTTTTTTTAATTTTATAACGCATTTCTTTATTAAGGATAGATATCCAACTATAGAAATACCTAGAATCATGCGTGCATCACGATATGGCTCTATATATAACAAAACTTAATCTAACCTAAAAACAAAACCAAGAACAACAAAACAACAAAATAAAAAAGAAAAAAACAAACCCATTCCTAACCCTACTACTCTACTAACTATCTCTATCTCTAATACAGGAAGAACAGAATCACAAAAAACTAAACAAAGGAAACACTGACTAAATCTAGACAAAAGCACAAATGCAAACAAATCATATCCTAGCGTGTAGCCCGACCTTTTCACACGTCAAATCCCTGTAATCCCACCCGTAATACAAAACCAAAAAGTTAGTACAAACCAGAAACCATTGTTTCTCGAAAAAAATTTTTTTTCTTGCAAGGAGAATAAGGTTCCTATCACGGCACGTGATTTGCTGTGATATGGCCGATCCCTCCTCGGATAAATTTGTCGCCGCAATTTGTCCCACAGTAAATCACCTCATTTCCCTTCAATCCAATTGGTTCCTCATTGAATCTTCCATTACTGTTGTAATGCCGTAATATACCTAGTAAATTTATTAATTATAAGGCGCAGTATTATATTTAGTTAGTGTGTAAATTTTTAGTAGTTTAAAATTGTATGACGTTACAAATGTAACGTCCGGCCGAGATGACGTTAAGCTAAAGATCAGGTGATTTGAGTAATAATTTACGATTAGACTAATTAGACTAATTAAGGATTTGTGTATTTATTTATAGGTGAATATCATTTTGAATAGTGAGTCATAATTTAGAATTGAGGAACGAATGTACTAAAAGATATAAAAAGGGATATAATTTATTTGACCTTATGAAATTCAGTATACGAATTTGCTTTTCATTTTATTTATATTTAGTATTATTAAACCAAGCATATATTGTATTATTATTTATTTATTTTATGGCTAGTCAGGAGGACTACATTGAAGATCAAAAATTACAAGTATGCTATGAAAAATATGAGATACAATATAGAACTTCACCTCGGAGTAACGAACTATAGTTCAGAACAACAGGTCCTAACTAGTATTAAAATTGTAACTGTTTAGAGAGAAACCGACGCTAAACAGTAACGAACCTACAACCAAATTAAAAAAAACAAGGCCCGTATTTTTCTTTCGAACTAAGGTCGCCACCTGTAAATACTGTCAGAGGTGGAATGGTTAAAACTATTCTAATTGTTTTAAAAATTAACGAAACAATACATATTATATGTATAAAGTAAAAGAATCTAGAAATAGACAAGCTATACATAAAAAAAACTCCAAAAAAGAGCAAAGTTATAAAAACTAAAAAAAAACCACACTATTACATAATTGTTAAAAAAACTAAACTAAATCATAAGGTACACTTCGACGAACCAGCCACCGTGGAGTCTATGATGGATGAAAGGTCCTGGCGGGAACGCTTTTGTACCGCCAAACCATAATGTGAGGACAACTCATAAGACGTATTAACGTCTCGTTTATTAGGACGAAATTCGAGGTTTTTGGTATCCTCGGAAGTATATGGAGAATCGTAAGACCAAAATACGTCTGTAGAGCGAGCTTTATATCTTTTCTGGGGGTTCTTGACGTAACGCTGTGATGGCAAAAAATGAAGTTCCGAGCGAAAATTCCGTGAGAATTCTTGTATTTCCGCATTGATGCTCTTGAAAAACTTGATATTTTTAACCAAGCATATATTGTATTATTAATAAAGTATTATTTTGTTAAGCCTAAGGTGGCAACGTGACTTATCACGGGCTTAGCTAGGTCTTACACTGTTTTGTATTCCGTCCGCGTGCTAAATTTTTGCTGCGCCGTTCAGAAAATATTCGCGACGAAAAATTCCAAAAACCCAAAGAAACCGACGTATATCCAAGTTAGAAACCTCTAAGTGAACCCCGGAACAATATCAAACTGTTCGTTAAGGAGTGAATAAGCAGTTGGTCATGGTAAAATGCGTACTTTTCCTAAACACTTTTTGAACTCTTCCACCTTTTGTTCCGTCCTGAAATTTATGGGCATATGATCGGCGGAAAGAGTTCAGTACATAATTTATTTCTAAAATTTCTTTGCCATATTTACTAAATAATTTTAATATGTATATTAATAATGATGACAAAATATTTTTTTAAAAGAACCTTCACGCTCCAGGTTCAGGCAAGTTAACCTCTACATCCTTTATTAAAATTATCAAAATTGATATCATAAAATATCATTATTTTTTTTACTTAAATATGAACAAATAAATTGTATTTTGTTATAATGAAAACTTTTACAAGCTCGGAATAAGATTGGTGAAGCGGTTGATTTCCATGGGGTTCCATTGGTATAGTGAATGGTATAGTTCTTAAGTATTATGCTACTTCATAGCTTAGACTATAGAGTAAGCGACTTTTCAAATTATAAAATAAAAACTTGAACCTGTCATTTAAGTTTATGGTACAGAAGATTAAATAAAAAAAGTAAGTTACTAAATTAACGTTCTCATTTTTACTAAGTATTCTGGGAACTCGTCCTTTTTGACCATATATATGGGGCAATTAGGAAACATGTAGCGTATAGAGACCCTTGTGTGTAGTGTATGGTGATCTTTAGCTATGTACGTATGGTTGCACTGAGTGTACTGTACGTACATAGCTAAAGATCACCATACACTACACACAAGGGTCTCTATACGCTACATGTTTCCTAATTGCCCCGCTGGCCCTGTGCTACAATTTTTGCCGGTTCAACTGGTGGTTCTTCGTAAACATATGCTGCGCCACTGGATACATTTATATATACACATAACACATACATATGGTTAGTATACATACGTACAAAAAATATGTTTATCATGTCGTACAATCACAAAATCAACGTATAGTGCACATCACTATACACTACATACATAGGTGTCTATACATAACATCTTTTCTATATAATCTATATATGTTGCATTGAATCACACTTAATCCTTAGAACAATGCGCCACGCAATTTCGCGACATCTTTGAAAGTTACGTTGGGATACTGCTTAATAGGTTATATAATACGTGCAAAATGGTCACATTGGTTGAAAATAGCTATTATTTCATAGTTCCATTAATGGATTCCCATACATTAACAGGTAATCCGTTGCATTTATTGGGCGCACTAAAAAAAATAATAGACACATATTGCTCCTTTATTAAAACAATTTTAACACTGCAATAATTATTTTTTAACTTCAGTATTTAAATAAATTTGCATTAATTATTGTGATCTATTATTACGGTTACACCGACAGGACGTTTTACCTAAAATGTACTGTCACATTATTTAAATATGGCGCAATACTAGAGTAATCTTGGGTCAGATAGTAGTATTGAAGAAGGAGGAATTAAAGAAAATATATTAAGGGGAATATATTGTTTAGCAAGCGAGGTTTATTTTAATTCGTGATCCGTCTCCAAACCAGTGAATTCTACTAATGTATTTCGGAGAATTATTTTTACAGATTAATTAGCAGGAAATTTAGATAAGAGCAATAGATATAGCAGACAGGAAATGTGATATGAGCTTACGAAATTAGTAAAAAAAGGTAGTTTAAAAGAAACTAATATTCTAAAGTATCCACCATTCAAATTAGATGTACCGCTCAATATGTGATTGATAGAAATGAATAATTGTATTTTTTTTATTTTTTTTGTTTATACCTTTTAACACAAGTTATTTTTAATAAAAAATATTAACTTTATGATCGGTACACTTCTTGTAATTGAATAATATAGCGTTTTTAAAGGCTGGAATCCAGCGTCGCTAAAATTATACAATATAAAAATTTTTGAAAGTAATTGGTTACACTATTTTTCAGCCTTAAATATGGCAAGTATAATACTTCGGAATATTATTTATAACATTTTTTAAAAAAAATTCTGGTTAAATTAGCTCAAAAGCCATTTAAGGGATAATTAATTTCAAAAATGATAACCCAAAATGTATTAGTAGTTTTTACTGGTTCGGAGACGGATCATGGATTAAAGATATTAATAAAAATTCTTTTATAAATAAGTGTAAACTTTTTTATTGATAAATAGAATTTCTTATCTTAAAAGTAAATATGGGCCGGTGCAAAAAGATTCGTACATCAGACATTGCATCGATAAAAAAAATTTTTCTATGTAATTTTTTTTTTGATTATTTATCATCAGTACACATTGGGAAAGATATGATATCACGTGATAATAATCGGAACTACTAAAGCGTCAAAATTCTTCATCAATTAATTGTATATTTTCGTCGGACTCAAAAGCGTTTTTAAATGTACTTCTCCAAAGCCCAACTATAACTTTAGAAGAAATTTTTTCCTTAAATATATTTAGAAATGTATTCCTAACTAACTTTATGTTCATATTGTTCTGCAATGTTAACACAAGAAAATGGAACCTTTTCTTTGTTTATTTTAATTAGCATTTTAATTAGCATTTAGAACTTTTGTACGAAAAATTATTGAAATGTTTTCGTCGGGTTGCAATTTAGGTCTTCTGAGGGTTTTATGTGGCGTAAAAGTATTATCACCACACTTGTTCCAGTCCGCCACCACAACCCAACTGTACTCTCAGCTATAACCAATGCCTCAGCAATCTGCTTACGTAATTTGACCTTCTGATCGTCCTCCGTTTTAAAGTTAACCCCTGAAAAATAATTGTAAATGGATATTACCATCGACTTTTCGTTATCAGTTAATGGTGCGTTTCATGGGGGAACTATGAGTAATAGGATAAAAAAACTATAGTGAAAAATGTTTATTCGAAGTCATTTTTTTTTCACCTTGTTTTGGTCGCACATATTTCTTGATGTAAATCCTTTCCTTTTTTGGTGAGGTACGAATCTTTTTGCACCGGCCCATATCTATCACGCTTTTCGCTTCTTGTAATTAATAAATTTCAATCTTAAACTAATTTTATTGCATTATCAATATTGTAATATTGTTTTAAGTTTAAATGAAAATATGAAAAATTTTTATTGTACAGTAAATATGATAAAGTAGTTTATTATAAGCCAAGCAATCAATTAAATAAAAAAGGTATATATATATATATGGTATGTGGCAAAAGCAATCGTTAACATTTTCAGCGAAACACCCTTTCGGTGGAACATCCTAACATCCTATCGTTAAAATGTGTGAAATTGATCTTTGGTAAAATGTCTATCGGGATGTTTTTGATGAATTTCACTCTAACTTTGAACCTGAATTTAATAAACGTGTGTTTTATCTGAATTTAATTATTTAGAAGTAATCACGAAACGTCAAAGTGTAAAGAGATCTTTACGAAATATAAATTCTAGAGATTGCAATACGGGATTATAAATATCATGAAACATTTAAAAGTCCATTTATTATTTTTTTTTTTTTTTTACTAAATTATTTGTTATCAAGACATATAATATAAACAATATAAATATACACGGTGTATATTCTTATTTCATTTACAAATAAAATTTCAATTCATATATTTCTTTTTCTTTGATAGTTTGTAAAATTTTCTCATTAATATAACAATAAATGGAGATTGGAGGAATTAAATTATTTTACAATGACAACAATTATATTATGGGGAATTACGTTTGACTGAGTATATAAAATGGGGAGCGTTCAAAATCCCGATAACCAGAATCCTGCTAAAACACAATACCGGCGCTCATAATCCTGACAAATCATAATCTCAATGCTTCAAAATCCCGTAACCACATTATTCCCGACATTCATTATTGAATATTATTCCTTTGGTTTATTAACGATAATCTATTAAGATAATGAGATTGATAGAATTAATTATAGTAAAAATTCTAGGACTAAGGTCGGCGAGCATTACATCCTAATTTTATAAAACATTATATGAATACATTCTTAAACCGTCTCACAATGTGTTTAAAAATAAATCGTTATACTTTATTTTTTTTATTTTTTTCTTTTGTAAATCAAGAATTAGGAAAGAAAAATCACAAAAAAGAAAAGAAATATATATGAAAATCGAAAAGAAGAGAAGAGTCTATGAAATAATGCAATAAAGAGTGCTTACTACGAAAATGAAAGAAAGTCGCATCATCTAATGAAACGTCTAATGAAATTTTATTATATCACCTGTAAACTAAAAGAAAATTAATTCTTTTTTGCTTTAATCCATTCAAAATCGTCAAAATAATCTCCAGAATATTCCTCATAATCAAACTTTTTAATAATACCCTCCGATTTATATTTTTCTATCAAATCATTATATTCTTTAATCATTCTTCCCGTTTTAAGGAATTGTAATAACATAGGATTTCTACCTTTCCAATTATCAAAAAATAATTTAAAATATTCCAAATTAGGTAACTCGTAAGAAAAATGGAATTTAAATTTAAACAAACTAATTGGTGATGATTCTGTTAAAATGATGAATAAATCCTTCCAATTCACGCTTCCAAAATTAGTATCAACATATAACCCATCTAAATATTGACAATTAAACAATAAATTTTTTAATTCTAAAATATTACTACTTTTACATAATAATCTAAGATACTTAAGGTTTGAACAATTTTTATAAATTGTTTGAATAATTTTATTATTATCAAACTTTTGTATTAATAAATTATTAATATAACAAATATTAATTTCTACTAAATAACCATTTGAACTTTCAATCAAATTTGTTAAAAAATTTACCGGAACATCATTAGCTTTTAAAATTCGTAAGAAAGGTAAAGATAAATTTTCCCTAGAATGATCCAATTTCATATTTCTAAAATTACCACCTAATTCCAATATACATATCCTTTGAAAAGTTCTTTCCATAAATTTTTCAGTTAATTTAAAATATTTTATAGTATTTGAATGTTTAATTAAAGAATTTTCAAAAACTTTCCAAAATGAATCATCATTTATTGAATATTTAATTATAAAATGAATTTTAAATAATTTATTTTGATTTTCAATTAATTTTGTAATTCCATAATTATAATTATCCATTTGAATAAAAAGTTCTAATTCTTTAATTGATTTGCACATTTCTGATAATCCATTTAAAATATTATCATTTATACTAGCGTCACAACTAAGAAATTCGATTTCTGAAAAACAATGTTTAGATTTAGGAATAAGATTTATTTGATAATCAAATCTTTGTGATATATAAAGATGAGTATATTTTGTGTTTTCATTAATAAAAAGATTAAGTATATCGTTTTTAATTTCTTCAAAATGATTATGATTATTAAATATCCTTTCGATTTCATTTAAATTTAAATGTCTACATAAACTAATATAATTAAATAAAGGTTTCTTATTTGATTTATTTGATATATGTGAAATTATTACGTTTGATAATAATTTCTCATTTCCTCTCTTTAAATATTTCCAAGGATTTATCCATAAAATTGAAATAATTATTTCACTCCAAGTTTTATTAACTGAAAGACATGAAAAAAGTGACTTTTTATCATCTTGAAAATCTTTGAATATCAAATAAAGAACATCTCTATTTAAGATAGTCATTTTTTTAAAAAAGGTTAAAATGCGTGAAAACGCATTGTTCTAAATGAAAAGCATAAATATGTATTACATGTTGTACGTGACACATGATTGTAATTAATCAGCTTTAACCAATAAAATTAATCAACAACATTAGCCAATAAAAAGTTGTGGTGTCGATCAAATAAAATTTTAATATGTGGGCAATGTGGCGCAGAAAATTAAAAATTTCCGGTACCCGTATTGTTAACACGTGATTAAAAATTAAATATAAACTTCTAGGTGAAACAATTATGTTAATAAACATAATTTGATACCTATTCTCCATAAATAAAAAAACTTTTTAATAATTTTGAAGATAAATTCAAATTGTGTAAGTACCATTTTTAACATACTTTATAACAATTATGAATTTTTTTTTTTAAAATAGTATTTCCCATCTACACTTATATCAATTGAGTATGTAGAAATTTTGCTAAACAAAGTTCAGTTTAGTATAAAATTTTAAACTGATATGAATAGAATCTTTGGATTTAATACATGTAGATAACTTTTCGTTATTAGAATATAACTAATGATAAATTTAAATAGATGCATTCTTTTTTTTATTTTCATTCCTTTAAAAACGATTACCTGTTAATGCAAGAGATTTAAAATTCTAGTAATTTTGAAATTGCAAAACATTGACAAGAGTTTTTTACTTTCTTACAATAATAAGATTTAATTTCTTATTGCTTTAATGGGATCCGTCCAAAATCGCGAAATCCAGAATCCCGACACCACATAATCCCGATCTACAAAATCGCGAAACTACAAAATCCCGACTTGGACAAAATATCGACTAGTTCAAAATCCCGAAATATAAAATCTTGACGGTTCAAAATCTTGACGGTTCAAAATCTTGACAGATTAGATACTATTAATAATTTGTTTTAATCTGTCTTTTGCAAAATAATTTAATGGAATATTTAGAATATTTATATTATTTATATATATTATTGAGTAAAAATTATTTGGAAATCTTTTATTCTTTAGACATTAAAATAAGTAAATTGCGCAAAATATTGTATATCATTTATTTTATTTATTAATTGTTGTAATTTATAAAAGAACTAGATAAAAGAACTAGATTTTTGTAAATTTACTTATAATGTAAGACTTATAATGTAAGATTATGGGCAATGACACGAAGATACTCCATCACTGAACGGTTTTCTTTATCACTGATGATCGTCATGATTCTTTTTTCTCTGTCAATTAAAATAAATATTTATAATTACGCGTAAATCAAATTTGTCAAATAATAATATGCAACGCGCAATTTGTTAATCAGAATGATTACATAACCATAAAAAAATTTTCATATGAATTTTCAATATGCTATGTTACTAAGCAAGCTAGAACATGAGAACATGGAATATTAACTAATTTGTATGTACATTAAATGATTTACACAATATACTTTAAATAATCAATTATGCAATTTTATTGATTTATTTGTTCTTTAACTATAATAGTAAATATATGTTTGTACAATTGTAACAATTCTATTAATTACAATCTATAAAATTTTTATTGTATTAGACGATTTTGTATTTCGGGATTTTGAACTAGTCGATATTTTGTCCTAGTCGGGATTTTGTAGTTTCGCGATTTTGTAGATCGGGATTATGTTGTATCGGTCTTTTGTTTGTCGGTCTTTTGACCCATAACCGCTTTAATTATGAATAAAATATCCTTAATGATCCACTCAAAAAATAAAAAAAGCATAACGAACTTTAAAGTAAGTTTTCTCATCAAATACCTATTTAAATAGAACAGCTTGAGCGAACTGACAGAGTTCTACGCACGTTGTTACCCGGTATCTATAAATAATTCATATCAAGGATATACAGTACTTCCAAAAGGTTGCGCAAAGTTCTTAGTCCTTTTTTAATAACAATTATCATGAGGTTGTCACTTTGTTTGCTTGTTAATAAAGAAGAAGCGATACTCACTTGACTTGATAATTTCTTATCAACGAACTGAACATCATTTTTCGCAAAATGTAGATCCAACTTGATTTTTTCGGTTAAATATTGTAGATCTATTTTCGATTTTATATATTGTGGTGGTTGTCAAATGTCAAATATCATGCCCCCTATTGAAAATCGAAATTATCGTAATTTGATAAACGTAATAAATAATTCCGTCTCAATTTTTCATTTAAATTTGGGAATACACAGTATATTGTTCTATAAAGCTTCATCGCCTTAAAAAAAACTTACTACGGAATAAACTTACATATCACGAGACTTTTTTTATCTTTTAAAAAATGATAAGAGGAAGGAAAACAATGACAAAATTAAAAAAAAAAAATTGGCCCCTTTTTTGCGTCATAAACTTCCAAAAGAAAAGATTTACTGAATTTTAACTAATTTAAGCTAATCTTCAAAGATAATATCTATCACACTAGCTATAAACGGAATAAATTCCGATCGTAAAAGCTTTTCTTTATAATTTTTCAGAAAAAAAAAAAAAATGTCAAAAAAAATGTTCATCTTATTTTGGATTTCAAAAGTAACGAGTCTTTCAGTACTTATTATAATTGATATTATTCTTTATTTTATGATTATATGTATACTCTTAATTTTAAATTTCGGTACTACATTAATATGGTATATACCGACAATATATCAATTATATTCATTCATTTTCACAGAGAAAGAATTTGATTTGAGGATAAGAATTTATTCATTTTTATTTTCACCTTTGATAATTATAATATATATTCCAATTTGTGTTATAATTATCATAGGATATAGTATATTTTCCATATTAATATATCGAATAATAATAATATTTGTAAGACCAGAATATTCACTTTATTCAATATCTTCAACAGCATCAATATTTTATATAATATATAAATATTATTATGAAAATTATTATATTGAAGAATTATTAAATTGTTCATTAATATTTGAAATATATAAACAAAATTTAAAAATTACACAAAATTTTTGGAATTTCAATTCTATTAAAATTTCCAAAAAAATTCAATATTATAAAATTTATATTTTTAAATGGATTATTTTAAAATCAATTAGTTTTATTGACTTTAACGTAATAATTATAATTTACATAATGATCATCATACCATATGTAATAATGATGAAATTAATATCAACATTAATTTGTTGGTTTTGTATTCCATATTTATTTACTTATGAATCATTTAATGAAATTTTTAATAATCTTGAAAATATTTCATCAAAAATTAAATGTTTTATTTTATCAATATTTATACCATTTCATTATTTATTCATTTTTATATTATGTGTTATTTGTTCTAGTTTTATTGGAATTTGTTGGATTATTGAAAGATTAATTAAAATATTTATTTCAACTATTAAATCATTTAATAATTATGGATTTTATTATATTATGGATTATTATTGGATTATTATTATAAGATTATTTCTTGATTTATATTGGCATTTTGGGTTAAAGTTGGATGGTTTGATTTATGTTTCATTTAATGTTGATATTTATAATTATAAAAAGCATGTATCAGGCAAAGTGGATGATATCATAATTTTATATGATTATTGGCATAATATGAATTTGAGCAATCGTAAAAGATGTGATTTCTAAAGTAAAAAAATTATATATATTGTTTATTTGTATTAGTATATTAAGTAATGTATTGTATATTTATATTTATATTAAATAAAATTTAAAATTGTATATTTGTTACATAACGTATTACATAGTGTCATATAGATATCGGACGATGAATTTGATTGGACGATTTATTATAATAGTCTTTAATGTTCTTTAATGTTGAAATTTTCCTATTAATTTTAATATAATTGGATGGGGGAGTAGCTATATCGGTCACAGGACCGAATGATCGGATGAAAATGGGTCACGTAGTGCCATTTTCACCAATCAATGAAGGTCCCTGCGACCCACATCCAAGTGTGTTATTAATTAATGCATGATCAAAAAACGTCAGAACGATAACATCATAAATAAGTTTTATTTAACTTTCACTTTTATGTTATTTTTAATCCACTTTATAAGGTTTATTTAAACTTTTTCTACAAAATATTCCATATTTTTTTCACTCTCAATCATGTGTTATCGCTATACCTAATAAAAATATCGGTCTATGAAAATCTGCATGATCCTATTGGGCTGAACGATAACGACAGATATAAAATCATAATTCTGTTTCTTGATTTAGTATTGTGAGAATCGCAGTATCTGTAATAATTCAAGATGTTATTGCGTCAATTTTAATTAATTAATAAAATATTATCTTATTATACTTACGGTATTTACAGCATTTTTAAATAAACAAATAATTTGAGTATATAAATAATATTACTAATGAATAAAATTTAAATTTATTACTTTTTCATTAATATAATTTCTAAAAGTTAGCTCGTATTATTTTTGCGTTAATATATACCATGATAAAAATTATAAAGTTCGTTCATTTACAAGTTTTATTTACAAGTTTAAAAAGTCGTTAAAAGCATCGATTTATTACTGTACCATTTTTATTCTTAAAATTCGAAATTTTATTGATTTTATTGATAATATATTTTTACGTTTAATTTCACACAGAATAAAATCTTATCTATTCAGGTTATGTATGGAACTTTTCAGTTAGTATTTTGAAACTCTATTATAAACGTGAATATTCGCGTATGTGATATTTCTTTTAGTTTATTCAATTAGCGCAGCCATCTCTTTTAAATCATGATAACTCGCTAACTATTTCCTTTGAAAGTTTTTTTTTTATTAATTTAAATATTGAAATTATTGCTATCCTTTAGATTTATGGAAATTAATACGGATTTTGTCAGGATGACAATATTTTCGATATCTACAAATTTGCGTTATCTCATAAAAGAGCGTCTTAAAACTAAAAGTTAATAAAAGTATATTGAAGTCCATAGAAAAAAAAAATGATAAAAGCTGTCTTACGTTCGCTAACGAAATAGTTTATAAGTTAAATTATTATTAACGTTTTTTTTTTAATACTAGCGTTAAAATTCATCGTATTGGCATATTCCACAATTTCAGTTTACAAAATCATAAAATTGTTCAAATAAAAATTTTTTATACTTTATTTACGAGTATTTTTTCATGTTTGGAATCATTAAATAACAATTACTATTTATTAATTAAAATGACAGTAATGTAATTATTATTTATCTTGTTTGTAATCCAAATCAATTAAACGTCAGATGTTTGTTATTTATAGTAACATCATTAAGTAATCATCATTGAAAATTTGCGATTTTTAATATATTGATTTTCATAATTCGGTTAAATTTTCAACCCGAATTATCCTTATCAGTTATTTTTTTATTATACCCTTATTATGATCTAAAAGGTAATGTCTTTATATAAATCCATGAAATTTTTCAAAACTTTTCTCGAGATATTTTTTTGATATTTTTTTCTTTTTCTTTTTTTTAACCGTTCCAAAAAAAAAAAAAAATTCTAACCATTAAATGGTTTGATGACGTCATTTAATATATCGAAATTTCTAAATCCGGGGACTTACACAAAAATAAGTAGTGCGAATAACTGTAACACAGGTTTAGTGTTTGTTTGGGGTTTGCATTAATATCCATGTTTATATATAAAAGGTATATAAGGGTTTGTAATATAAATAAAGAGTTTCAAATTTCAATTCTTCCTTTGTCTTTTTTTTTTAAAAAAAAAATTTTTTCTTAAAAAAAAAAAAAAATTATATAATTTTAAAATAATAGATATATATATATATATATATATACTTTTTCATTAATTATGAAGGATATACAACAAAAGTCATTCACATTCTTAATAATATCAATACTTCTTTTAATAACTTTCCTTCCAAAAGGATTATCGCAAGTAACAAAAACAGCAGTAGTAGTAAGTACATTGCCTGATGTTACAATTACAGTAACAGCACCACCACCAGTTGTTGCTCCAACTGATACCAGTGTACCTGGTCCAGGACCAGCTGCTCCCGGTTCTCCCAATGGTTCTCCTGGAGCACCTCCACCACAACCTGGAGCACCTCAACCTGGAGCACCTCAACCTGGCGCTCCTCAGCCTGGAGCGCCTCAGCCTGGAGCGCCTCAACCTCAACCTCAACCTCAACCTGTTACTCCTGCTCCTGGAGTGCCACAACCGTCTAATAATGTTCCTTCCCCAGGAGGTACACCAAATAATAGGTAATTTTAAATTTTAAAATTTTAAATTTCTTTCGATTATATTCTAATTTTAATTAAACAATATTCTTTAACAAATAATTTCTTTAATTACCTAGTCCAACGGTTTCTACGGTTAGTTCAAGTTCATCACAAACAAACAGTATAACCAATATCTTAACTGGTCACGTACCCGTACCTTCTACTAGACCTAATAATGGTGGTAATAATTTAAGTTGGAATTTAATAGATTGTAGTATTATTATAGGTGGATTAATTATGGGTATTTTAGTATTATAAAAATGGGTAGTAAAAAAAAAAAGGGATTAGAACGATTAAATGTGCAATTCAAACAATTCAAACAATTCAAACATTAGAAGGTTGTGTATTATATTGTATTTTTATCTACTTTATTTTTAATTAATCATTATTAAAAATTTTATTAAATTTTTTATTATTAAATTATTTTTTAAAAATTTTATCTTTTTTTTTTTTTTTAAAAAAAAAAAAAAAAAAAAAAAATTCAGAATTTTTGTTTCTCATTGTAAAATTCACAACGCATGTTGTGGTTTTTTTTTTCTTTTTTTGGGATTTCTATGAATCATTATCACAATAGAATATTGTGTTACAATATAGGAACATAAGGTTTTTTACTTAAACGAATTTAAATTCAAAGTTTTACTTAAACGAATTTAAAATTCAGAGCTTTGTTTAAAACGAATTTTAAGTTAAAATCTGCTTTTCATGTCACGAATATATTTCGAATTTTTCTTTTTTTCAATGCGAAATACTTAAATTATTTAATTTGAAAATTTTGATCATGATGACGCTTGCGTACCATAGATTATTATTTTGCCTAAATGTATTTTTTTTTTATTGATAAAATCTCGAAATACAATACAAAATCTTTTTCAGAAAAAAGTATAATTAATATAATTTAATAAATACAGTTTTTGATAAATATATTTATGCGACATACTGTATATCCATCAAATTAATTAATAAAAATTCACTTTTCAATATGTTTTTCGGCAAATTCTTGAAAGTTCTTACTTCCACTAGCGTAGGTGTTATCTTTTTCATTAACAGTTGTACTACTATGTGAATAATCAAAATATTTTCTCGATCTTTGCATAACAGAAAAATATCTAGCAGGTAAATGATTTTTAAAAAAGGTAGGCATCAATTTTTCTATAATGGCTAAAGGACTTCCTTCCTTATGCTTATATTCTTGAAAAACATTTTTACTTGAATGTGATTTCTCTACATTATCTTCTCCATCATCATTCATATTCAATTTAGCCCATCCAAAGAGTTCATTCACATTCGATCTAGTCCATCCTATGAAACTAAGATTATCACTGGCCCGTTCAATAATAATAGGTTCTTTACCTGAAGAAAATAAATTTTTTGTACTAGAAGGTCTACTTCCATCTTGGAAAAATCTAATACCTTCTCCAACATGTGCATAATTCAAAATACTACTTTTATTAATTACACGTCTAACGGATGGATCGGACCAACCAGGTGGAAGTTTAGTAATAATATCGGTATCATCAATAATTCTCCAAAGAGTATTATGCCTATCATACGGTGAATTAGTATAAGAGGCGAATTCAGCGGCAAAATCTGCATCACCAATACTTGGACTACCAAACATATATCCATCTCTTAAAATACAATTTGGTCCAAGATCTCCTGGTGATTTAATGAGACGAGTATAAAACAAACTAGCAAGTGCAGCACCTAAATGGTATGAAATATGAAATTAGTATAATTTTAAATTAAATTAATTAACTCCAATTTTAAAATAAAATTTACCTAGCGAGTGACCGGTTACCCAAACATTTACTTTTACTTTTTCAGATCGAAGATCTTGAATTTCAGCAGCTTTTGATCTAATGGCTCTAAGTATTGTTATATAAGGAGAAGAGCGACTTGATCTTGATGTAGAATGTCCACTTTGTGGAAATAACGAAGTATAAAATCCTTCATGAACTTCTCCAAATACAAAACTTCTTGCATCAGTTCGTTGAAACATTAAATCAATAACGAAATCTTCAAAATTAAGCGGCGTTGTTCCTTTAAATACAACAACAATAAAATTATGTTCTAAACTCCAAAACATTCCTGAAAAAGGACCTCCTAATGAATTTAATTCTGATAATGAAGTGAATTTCAATCCCCATTTTCTTGCTTGTTCATGTATACGACTTTCACTTTCTTTCAATCGATCTGTAATGGTTTTAATATCTTCTTGTGTTATAGATTTTCCTTTTTGTCTCGTAATTTCACTCGTTAATTTATGAGCGTTTCTAACTATTTCATCATTACGCTCATATATAATACAAGACATAAATAATAACAATTCTGCAATGTCAAGATGAAACCCGCGATGTTGTATCGTTCCTTCAACCCCAAATATTGAATCATCTAATTGTTCTTCGGGTAATGGTGGTGGTAAAGGAGCATCCAACGCAATAATTCCATCCTTTACGATTTCATCTACCTCTGATGTAAATATTCTTGGGTCCCCTATATAAAGAATTTTAAAAGTCAATAAATAAATTTTATATACGTATATATATATGAACATATATAATTTAAAAAGAAAAAAAAAAAATTCTTACACCAATTAACGATCGATAAACCATCTGCCCATTCATCAGCAATCCTTTGAATCAATTCTCCTAACCCAAACTTAAGTCCAATATGTAAAGCAACTTCCAATATAATGATTCCAATAATCAAAGTAGGAAATACCGTAATCAACAAACAGAAATTAAACGGATGAAATATTGGCATTGACCATTCAAATAACAAAGTAATAATAACATTTTTCAAAACTCTATGAACGTAAACAAAATAAGTGAGTGATGGAGCCCATACTAACACTTGAGGTCTATGTTCAGGAGTTGCGTTTAAATCTTCTATATAATTTTGTTTATCTTTTGGAAATTGTGAGCAAAAATCTTTAATATGGTTTAAATCATCTTTGACATTAGTTTTGTCCAAATAAGTATCATATTGTTTAACCGAAGGTGGCATAATTTATAACTAAATCGATTGTGTTCCAATTTTGGAATAGTTTATTAATTCGGTACCGAGTGATGGTTTTATTTTATTTTTTTTTTTCGAAAAAAAATTTTTTTTCTTTTTATTTTTTTTTTTTTTAAAAAAAAAAACGACGTTGGCAGTCGTATTTATATTATTCTATAATGAATTGTAACACCTGCAAATCATAAAGTTTTCTTTTCAATTGTCGCATGGAAGAACATTCCGTACTGAAAAATCAATCATTTATGGAAGGTACCTGCATAAAATCTTTTAAAAAAGAATAAGGGATGCCGGATGCGTTACGACGGTAACGTGCGTGCATAAAAAAAAAAAATTGCGCAACATAGAAACATAAACATTACCGATTTACTATCCTTAGTCACTAAGTGTCTGACGATCAAAAAAAATTATCAATTTTAATAATTTTAATAATTTTTTTTAACAATTTTTGTACAGATGATCAATTTACCATATTTTTTCATGAGACAATCATAAAAAATAACGTCATATTATCCCTTTTTAACACTCTTTTTAATTCCTTATATACTTTATGAAGATTCACATAATTTTAAGTAATTTATATAAATAACATGGATATATAAATGTAAATTACTATCTACTCGCTAAAAATTTTTATTATTCAGTTATGATTACTATGGTTACTCTTTTTTTTTGTATTTACATCCAAAAGATAAGGATCTTCGTTATCGTTTTGATGCATTTTTATTAAAATTATTACATACGTTATTATTTATGATTGTGGATAATTATCTTTTATAAAAGAATTTTTATTGTATTTATTTCCTTTTTGAGAACTTTTTAAAATAATTACATACGTTATTATTTATTATTGTGGGTAATTATCTTTTATAAAAGAATTTTTAATTATAACGGTAGGTTGACGAAAAGATAGTTTCTAAAGTGTTTTAAAATACTAAGAAGCAGTACTTAGTTTCTCTACTGTAGTTGTAACTAAAGATAATTTTGAGTTCCAACTAATCGATAAATATATTATAAAGATCAAAAACTACTTATTATTAAATAAAGAAGAGGAAATTTAATGAACTCATAAAATTTTTATGAAAAATTTTTGCCATTTTATGCAACAAAATATTATTATTTAAATAAAGTATGTTAAAAATAGGATAGATGCTATCATAAGATGAGCATATAGTAAAATAGTACGATATTGTAATGGTAATAGAAATTAGTACGAAAAAAAAAATTTCAATTTTTCCGTACTCAGACGGACCTTTAAAAATAATTTTTTTTTGATTTTTCCTTATTTTTCGTGCTAATAATTTTACGTTGTATGATTTTTCGTATTTTCGTACTAATAATTTCACGTTATATGATTTTTCGTATTTTTCGTACTAATAATTTTACATTGTATAACTCGAAAATTTTCAACACTGGATATATTATCAATATCCATATTTTCACTTTTTGCTTTAAAACGAGATACTTGCGGTGATGCTCTGTATAAACAATTTGAATTGTGTATCTGCGACTGATCTATTCCGTGTTTGTTACCTGTCAAGACCATGTGCACACCGAGCTATACATATATAGGTCAGGTGAACCCAAAAATTTTCTATATTACTACGCATAGGTTTTAATACGCATTTAAGAATCTAACTTTAAAATTTTATCTAAAATAAGCAAAATGATCGTTTGACTATTCATATCTCCCAAAACATCATAATAATAATCTTACGGAAATTTTAAAATATTTTCATCAACTGATACTCCTGATTTACCAAAATGAAAATGATACTAGATGCTAAATGATGTGTCAAAAAATTGCAACCCTCTTTCAAAACGTCACTAAACAGATCAAGATGAATAGGTAAATAAACACACAAGGAAATATAAGAAACATCATTTAATTTGTAATAGGTTCATCTGTATAACAATAGTAGTTATTGTAATCCTCAAAGTACTGTATATTGCTACAACCTCTGCAAACATAGTTTCGCCATATAGAACAAAAACATAATCACCCTTCAATAGCGAAATTCCTTGAATATATTTGCATTTTCAATATTGGGGACTCTCTTCTGTATATAATTGCGCTAGTATCAAAGATATATTTTTACGATTTTCTTTCCATTTTTTTTTCTCTTTGTTTAATAAATCGCTGTTCAGGATTTTAGTTCTCTGTAAAATATGCAACGAAATGGCTAGCTTTATTAGGTTGAATAGAATTTGATGCATTCAATCTAATTGAATTTGATGCTTTTATTTTAAATTTTCGTTCAAGTGGTTTTGAACAATATGCATCATGTAATTTACGTTGATTAAGTAAAGCTTCAAATTCAAAAATATTTTCCGGAAAATAATGATAACCTATAATTTTTAATTTAAAATTGTAAATACTTTAAAATATAATTATCTAATACTTATCACTATCACCATTATTTAAAAACTGACAAGGAATCTGAAAATTCATTAGTTGCATTTGGCCACTCTGAAAATATGTTAACAGATGAAGAATCATCATCATCATCATCCAAATCATTACTATTTCGACCTATTTCTCTTGATGCAATATTTATCGAAGAGGATATGTCATCATCATTTTCTTGAATATATTGAATATTATAACTATTTGAGGATGGATCTGTTCCATTATATGTACATGACATTGAAACTTCATTTTCATGTGAGCCGATTTAATAAGTGAATTATTTATATCAATTGATAAGTTTTCAGGATTTGCAGGTGTAAGTTCAAGTGCTAATCGATGAGAATGATGAATAGTCTGCATAATTTGTTTGTCTGTAGGCCATAATCTTAATATTTCAAAAGACAAATTATTTACAGTCATCCTCCCATATAATCACACCCTTCGGGACCATAAAAAAATGGTGCGACTATAAAAATTATATATGATGTGATTAAAGGGAAGGTTTTTTTAATAAGTTTATTAGTAACTTGGGATTAATGTAAATGTGCTTATAAGGGAGTTGTGATTATACAGGGGGTGACTATATGGGAGGACGACTGTAATTGGCCTTCGTTATAATCAAAAAGATATCTTAGTGGAAAATGGTTATTTATAAAATAAATGTAAAATAAATGAATAATAAAAATAATAATTAATTAATTAAATTATAAAATTATCTTGTCTAACTGTTTTTTCTTTGTCAAAGTTTAATTTTTGATTTCGTAAAGCATTATTGTATTGAGCGATTTTAGGAATCATTTGTATAAATTCAGCAAAGTCAAAATCAGCATTGATTTGACGAGTAATACCAAAGAAATGTTCACAGGGTTCAGAACTATGGGACCAAGGTAATAATGGAATTTATGGATAAAATTCACGATGTGCTTTTACTAATAAAACTATTGATTCTGCAAGAGACGTAAATATACCAAAACTTTGATAGCTAAAAAATTTATTTGCATTGATACAAAATCTGGATATATTTGTACTAAAAGTTTCAATATTAAATTTCTATAAATGAGGGAAAAAATAGGTAGCCATTGCCATTCGAATGCGTTCAATAAGAGCAATATCATGATTGAGACAACTATCTATTAATTCTCCTATTAAAATAAATAACTAATATAACTTAGTACTGAATAATAAGAACAAGAATTATTTTCAATAATATTTATACTACCATTACAAATAGATATATGGCAACTTGTTCAACTTTATAATTATTTCCAAGACGTTGTTTGAAATTTGATGAACAGAATGTTCTATACGCGACACCATCATCCTGCAGATCTAACTTAACAATAACATTATTGAATCATGACGGTTAATAAGAGGTAAAAAATGTTAAAATCATGCAGATGATGTTTCAAAAGTTAACAGGCGTGCTCCAGACATAATTGCATTTCGAGCAGTTTTCTTTGCATACTTAGGATCTTGTACTCGAATTATCCAAAATAGGGCATGAAAAATTGATATTCAAAGAAGATTCATGAACTATAAGCCTTTTAGAAGTTTGAGTATTAGGAATCGGATTGTTGTGCCTGAAATTCTGCAATTGATAAAATATGAAGATGTGCAATTTCTTCAATCAATTTTCTATGTAACTTTTCAATATCATCAACAGTATCTGATCCTTTATTATTAGGGATAAGAGCAATAGCAACTGGTGGAAATTTAGGTAAAGGTATCTTTTAAAATTATTAATTAAATTAAATTAGCATTTTCTCTGAGAATTTAATTTATGATACATATTGATATTATACCCACAAAAGATATATATGAACAACTTTAGCAATTCCATTTGATGATTTGATTTTTGTAATTATCTTCGGAATATCAGAATAAATGTTTACATATGTTTCTTCTTTTGAAAGAATTGACCCAATAATACAACCAAAAATAGAAGGATATTTCAACTGTGATTTTAATTTTGTATTATCGGTCATTGCAGCAATTGGGCCATCATTAGGGATTGGAATCGATAATCGAATCAAAATTGAATCTCATTTGTTTAAGAGAAAATTGAAATTAAACAAAAAAATTAATTCAACATTGCATCCAAGAATCAAATGCATGTTTTAATATATTTTCAAAAAAGAAAAATTGATCGATAAAAAACTTAAAAATGACGAAATGATCGGCAAATGATCGGCAATGATCGACAATGATGTTTATAGTAATTTACAGTTGGGTAATAGTAACGATATGTAATTTCTTCATGGAATTAATTATCAAAGCTTAAAATGGATTATCTTTTAAGGAGAAAAAAATCAAATTTACAAAGATTCGATAATCAATTCCAATTCTAGCCATCATATCTAATTATATTAAGTAAATTGTTTGAAATCAGCAACATTTTCAAAATATAGATCAGGATCCAGATAATCTACATTATTACAGCGTATTTTTCTAATAATTAAAAAGCAGGTTATGATATAAAACTTTTAAGGAAATTAATACAAATAATATAAATAATACCTTAGTGATTGAATTCCTCTTCCTTCTAAATTTTGACAAAATAAATCTAAAGCCTTGGGACTAATATTTCCTAAAAGGACTAAGAAATTGGTAAATTCTTCACTGTACTTCACCTGACCCTATAAAAAAAATTCTGGAAAAAACTCCGATAAATGATCATTTTTATAGCTTCTATTTCGAAGAAACTCAGACACGATTATTTTTCTGAAAATTTTTTATAGGTGAAAAGACTAATGCATCATTAAATGCCCCCATTTATTGCTTTATCAACCAATATAATCCAGGAATTTGGTGTTTGATTGTTTTATTTTTATCATCATAATTAAGCGAATTCCAGATTTCACAGAGGTCAAAATTTTGAAGATGAGATTTTAAAGGACTATTTTCCCAATAAAATTTTGGGTGTAAATTTGACATTTTCTGGTAATGGTGTTTTTTTCCAATTTTATTGCAAAGATTTTTATCAGATCGAATGTAATGACATTTTCATTACAAACATTACCATTTTCTGCAATTTCTGGACATGTTTTGGCACGTACTGCACAACCTACATAATTTTAAAAAATAAACAAAGGTTTTTTTTTGAATTTAATGAAAATATTTATATGATAATAATAACTCCCTATAAAAAAATTGGATACGTTTTTTATAAAGTTTTTATACGATTTTTTTTCCTTAGAAATAACGTATCATAATAGGATACGGAAAAATGCACAATTCCGTATCACTAAAAATATGGTTTGGATACGGAATTTNAATTTTTTTCCGATATTAAAACTCATATGATAATGTTCTGAGGAGAACGTAGAGGCCAAAACTGGTGAAAAAAGTGGTACTTGTCTATAAAGAAATATGTTTTTTAACGAAAATTTCTTCTGTGAATTTTTGGTATTTTACGATCGTCAGAAAGAGTTTCTAATTTTATATATTCAAAAATCACTGCATACCAAAAATTGTAAAGAAATTAATCACATGATTAATAGTGTCGGCTGAAATTATGCGCAATTCCGGCCAGCACTACCAGTTAAAATTACTCAACGGACTTAAATAAAAGTTTGTATTATTTATTCATGGTGTCAGAAATAACAGAGATTCTTGATGATACGTTTACCTTATATGATATAGTTATTATGCAGCCGAATAGGATCATGTTGTTTTTAACATCATACTGATATTTTTTAGATAAATTAAATATCTTTGATATTTTTGACGCATTACGTCATATAGATTAATTGTCACATGTTTACTAGCATAGCGGACATGCTTATATCACCTTGCCGATCATTTGCCGATCACATAATTCCGGATTTTAAAAACTTGTTGAAAAGCCATAAATAATTTTAAAATAATATGGCAAAAAAATAATGGAAATCCAAGATAAGTACTAAATTATTATATAATTTTAATTATGTAATAATTAGTATAATTTTTTATATTACAATAACACATTTTTCGTATGTGATAATTCAGTCATTTTTGCGGATCATCAGACAAAAATTGATGGACGAAGGTGAATATGCATGGGCGAAACTTGAAACTTTGCACAAATATTCTTTATCTTATATATAATATATAGTAAAAATAAAACAGTGATACGATCCATTAAACAGATTTTTTATTAGTAAGGTATTTAACAAATAATTTTGCAAAATGAATAAATAAATATCAAATAAATCAGTGTCACAAAATTAAGTAAATACCATGAAATTACATAAATTAATGTCACAAAATTAAGTAAATTGATGCCATGAAACTAAATAAATCACAAAATTTAATAAATAATACCATAAAACATATGCTACTAACTAATTATTTTTATTAAAATTTAAAACAATAATAAAAGTTAAAAAGTTGCTACTAATAAAAGTAACTCAATAACCTGTCTCTTATACACATCTTAAGTTTAAAAATTCCGTATACATTCCGTATGATTAATTTTTTCCGTATACATTAGTTTTTTTAAAAAATGTTCAAAAATGAATTGCTTATTAAATATACGGAATTTGTATACGGAATCTATAGAAACGTACATAAAATGTATACAAAACGTATCCTTTCCGTATATATATTTCTTATAGGGACTTACTATTTCCGTTTTTGTTTATAATTCAGTTTCTTTTTTCTAAACTTTTTAGGAAACTTGTTAGGAAATAATTCACATGCAACAATTTCTACTCGTCAAGATCCACCAAATGTGCCAGAGTACGTTTTATGTAATTAGAAATTTGTTCAGATTGAAGACCTTTCCAAATTAAACGTTTTCCAGATTTGTTTAAATTACTTAAAAATTCATTATCTGTAAGCAAGGTATCTACATTTTCATTTATTTCTTTTTCCTCTGCCTCATCTATTTTCAATAAGTCATCATCGTCTGAACTTTCAATACGTTGACTTTCAGTAGGTTTAAAGAAATTGTAAATTGATCCTTGACTTTCCTTAGCTTTACAACCAGAACTCTCACATGTTAGTTTAGATAATCTTCTTCCCATTTTCGGTTCAGCTTAATAACTTTCATACCGCCTTTTTTGGATGAATAATGCGGGCACAAAATTCGTGTTTTAAGAGACTTTCTTTACTATACTTCTGCTTAAACGTTATAAAATTCTTTACAGAATGGATATTCTATAAAGGGCAAAAGAAAATTTTTTTTTTTAATAAATAACAGAATTGTGCTTCAATATCATATGGTAATTTCGTGGCTATTTTACAAAATAAGTAAGTTTTAATCTGCTATTGATCTGCTATAACTATAAAATTTCCTAATTTATATCAAAAATAACCTCATAATATTTTGAAATGTCAAAATTACGCAAAATGAAAATCAGACCTTTTAAAAAATTTTGTTTTACGCAAATAAAAAATCTCACCTGAAAAGGTTATTAAGTTGGTACTATCTGGGTCCTATTTCGATGGCAAATCCGCAAAAATTTTGTATAGAAATTTCTTTGTGATGCTAACGGAAAAAGTTAAGCTTTTATTATATTTCTTTTTCAGCCGTTTCCATCATTTCGGGATGATGGAAGCCATTCAAATCCCAATGATCACGTTATAACAACAAGCCCAACGCTCTATACATGTTGCCGAAATATTTCGGCTATTTCGCCCACATGACAAACTGGTCAAAGCAAAATCATCTGATTTCATAGATCTGGCTGAAATTAGGCTTCAAATAGGTTAATCCGGGTCTGAAGAACCTATGAAAGAACTTTTGAGGAATTTCGACCAACTTACATAATTTCGGCAGGGCTCTGGAATTTCGGACAACCTATATTTAATATATGGCCAAAACTTTAAAGTCCGATTCGAAATTATTACAGATTATGCCGAAATTTTCTGAAGTCTGCTAAAAGTTGCTGCAGATCTGGCCCAAATTATCTGAGGTTTAAAAAAATTTATTGATATATCTACAAGTAGCTATATTTTGGAGCCGAAATGCGGCCGAAATTGAAAAAAAGTTTCGGCAACATGTATACAACGCTCACAATCCTGACAAATCATATTCCTAAAAGTTCAAAATCCTAACTCTCATTATCACGACACTTATTATTTTTTTTTAATTTTTTAGACATAATAATTTTGCAATACTTTATATAATGAATAATGTTTCCATTAATATGAGTAATAATTGAATATTTTTATATAATATTATTTTTAAATATTTTGCAAAAATTAATCTTATTACATATTTTTTATTTATTAATAATTTTAATAATCATACTTCGTAAAATTTAATGAATTATTATTAATGTTATTAGTTAGAAAAATAAATTTCAATCTTTTGCTTAATACTATCCTCATGAATAAAAAGTATATTAAAAAAATTATATCTTTATATGCAAACATTACATTTTTATTTATTAATATAAAGTGTTTGGATAATGAGTGTCAGGATTTTGAATTTTCGGAATTATGATTTGTCAGGACTTTGAGCGTCAGGTTTGTGTTATAACGGGATTCTGATCGTTGGGATTTCGCGATCACTGCAATAAAAGAATATTTTTTTGGTTTTTTTCCCTTTAGTTTTCCTTTGATGGTTAAACCGAATTTATTTATTTTTTATTGAACCAATTTCTTTAACGGTTAAACCGAGATAACGGTTAAACTAAAATTAATTTTTTTTTCTTTCCTTTTCTATCAACGGCAGCATAGCGGACATGCTTATATCACCTTGCCGATCATTTGCCGATCACATAATTCCGGATTTTAAAAACTTGTTGAAAAGCCATAAATAATTTTAAAATGATATGGCAAAAAAATAATGGAAATCCAAGATAATTACTAAATTATTATATAATTTTAATTATGTAATAATTAGTATAATTTTTTATATTACAATAACACATTTTTCGTATGTGATAATTCAGTCATTTTTGCGGATCATCAGACAAAAATTGATGGACGAAGGTGAATATGCATGGGCGAAACTTGAAACTTTGCACAAATATTCTTTATCTTATATATAATATATAGTAAAAATAAAACAGTGATACGATCCATTAAACAGATTTTTTATTAGTAAGGTATTTAACAAATAATTTTGCAAAATGAATAAATAAATATCAAATAAATCAGTGTCACAAAATTAAGTAAATACCATGAAATTACATAAATTAATGTCACAAAATTAAGTAAATTGATGCCATGAAACTAAATAAATCACAAAATTTAATAAATAATACCATAAAACATATGCTACTAACTAATTATTTTTATTAAAATTTAAAACAATAATAAAAGTTAAAAAGTTGCTACTAATAAAAGTAACTCAATAACAATCCAATTCAAATAAAATTTAATATGCAACAAATTATAACCAAACTTAAGTTTTTTGTAAATTTTGAGCATATATTATTATGTAAAATTTTTAATAACGGCATTTATTATGTGATATAATTGAATAAATGATCGATAAATGATCGGCAAATGATCAGCAAAATTGTGATAAAATAGGGATGTCCGCTATGCTATCAACGGCCATGTTTTATTTTTTATTTTTTTGGTTCTTTTTTTTTAAACCAAAAAACTTTTAATTATTTTTTTTTTTTTGTTTTTAATCATTTTTTTTTTATTACAATACTAATTTATAATCATTTTTTTTTTAATTTTTTCAGTTCAAACTGAAAATAATTTTTTTTAATTTATAATTTTTTTTATTTTGGCTATTTTTTTTTTATTATTTTTATACATTTTATTGAACAACGCTAATAAAAAAAAAGACTTTTTTTGCTACTATTCTATTTTTTTACAACAATAAGGTTTGACGATTGTCACATTTTGAAATTCCGGATGTGTAAATTTGTTTGTCATACATGTATTGCAATGCTTCTTTTGTATATATTTATTACTAATATTTATTCATACTAATAAAAGCGTTTAATATTAAAAAGTAAAAAAAAAGAAAAAAAAGATATTTACTCCAATTAGGGAGAATTTCGGTATAGTAATGGGTCAATATATTGGTAAAGGTAAAGCATATAGCATGAATACATAATATATATAAATTGAAATTATTCAAAATTTTAAAATAAACTTGCAATATAAACAAACTTGCAATATAAACTAGCTTCCAGTGTTATCAAAGAATTTGTAGAAAGTGGCACTGAAGAAACTAAAGGTATATCAAACAAGCTGAAATACTAAGTTTTATTTATAAAAAATTCAAATACCACTATAATTATATCCCGCATAATATGCAAATATAATTTAGACTAACTATAATTGAATAATAATGAATTACTAATTTTTTTTTATTGTATTCCATATAACTAAATAAATTTATTTAATGATTAATAATACCGTAGTTGGTAAATTATCAGTTATTTAAATCTTTAGTTCTTTACTTATTTTATATAGCATTCAAATAACTAAATTCTTTATTTAAATAACTATTTAATAATTAATTATATTACAGATGGTAAGTTACAATATATATATTACATTTATTTGTTTAATATTTTATATAATTCAATTAATTATATTCTTAATTGAAATAACTAGATTGTAAGTAATATATATAATTTACAGTAAATACTTTTATATTATCTTTATATCTAACTAATTAATAATACTACAGGGTGTAAGTTATTATGATATTTATATTAATACTATATAATTTAACTAAATTCTTTATTTAAAAAATTATTAAATAATATAGGGAGTAAGTTATTTATTTAATTCTTATTGTTATAATATTTACATATAATTTAAACCAACTAATTTCTTATTTAAAAATTATTTAAATAATATAGTGAGTAAGTTATTTATTTAATTCTATTATTATTTATTGTTATAATATTTACATATAATTTAACTTACTAATTTCTTTATTATTTAATAGATTGTTAGTCATAATTTATTTATTTAATTATATTATTACTTATTGTTATAATCTTTACATATAATTTAAACTAACTAATTTCCTTATTTAAAAAATTATTAAATAATATAGGGAGTAAGTTATTTATTTAATTCTATTATTACTTATTGTTATAATATTTACGTATAGTAATTTAAACTAGCTAATTTCTTTATTAAAAAATTATTAAATAATATAGGGAGTAAGTTATTTATTTAATTCAATTATTACTTATTGTTTTAATATTTACATATAATTTAAACTAACTAATCTCTTTATTTATTTAACAGATTGTAAGTCATAATTTATTTATTTAATTCTATTATTACTTATTGTTGTAAATATTTACATATAATTTAAGATAACTAATTTCTTTATTTAAAAAAAAATTAAATAATATAGCGAGTAAGTTGTTTATTTAATTCTATTATTATTTATTGTTAAACTAACTAATTCTTTATTTATTTAATAGATTGTAAATCATAATTTATTTAATTAATTCTATTATTACTTATTGTTATAATATTTACATATAATTTAAACTATCTAATTTCTTTATTTATTTAATAGATTGTAAACCATAATTTATTTAATTAATTCTATTATTACTTATTGTTGTAATATTTACATATAATTTAAACTAACTAATTTCTTTATTTAAAAAATTATTAAATAATATAGGGAGTAAGTTATTTATTTAATTCAATTATTACTTATTGTTATAATATTTACATATAATTTAAACTAACTAATTTCTTTATTTAAAAAATTGTAAGTTATAAGTTATTTATTTAATTCTATTATTACTTATTGTTATAATATTTACATATAATTTAAACTAATTAATTTCTTTATTTATTTAATAGATTGTAAGTTATAAGTTATTTATTTAATTCTATTATTACTTATTGTTATAAAATTTACATATGATTTAAACTAACTAATTTCTTTATTTAAAAAATTATTAAATAATAGTTCGTAAGTTATTTATTTAATTCTATTATCACTTATTGTTATATTATTTACATATAATTTAAACTAATTAATTTCTTTATTTGAAAAATTATTTATGGTCTAGCTTGTAAGTATCTTTATTGTTGTATATTTTATATAATATTTTTTGTTAACTGAATTCTTACATTTTAAAAATATCTGTTACTTTAGTTGGTAAGTTGTAATCATAGGTTACTATATGTATTTATCCAAAAATTAAGTCTTATATTACATTAAATTCATATTTAAATTTTAGAGTAAGTAATAAATTATTTTGTGTAAATTATAATACAATTTATAATATAATTTTAATTATTTAAATTTATAGATTTGGGAAAAGTGGAAATATAATTATAGATGATTTTATTCTTGAAAAAGAATTAAGATGGATTCCTTATAACAAATTCAAAAATGTTGAATATCTTAATGAAGGAGGATTTGGTACTATATACAAAGCTATTTGGTTAAAGAATATTGGAGATGAAGAAGTAATTCTTAAATGTCACAAGAATTTAAATGATAATTTAAATGAATTTTTAAAAGAAGTATAATAGTTATTATTTTCTGTTTTTAATTTAAATTATAATTTCTTCATATTAATAAATTAATATTATTTTTATAGTGGGAATATCATATAAGTGTTTTACGTTCAAGTGATATTATAAATATTTATGGATTTACAGAAGATCCAAATACATTAAAATATATGGTAGTAATGGAATATGCAAATAAAGGTAATTTAAGAGAAAATTTAAAGAGAATAGTTGAAAATAATTGGAATCAAAAATTATATATGTTGTGCGAAATTATTTCTGGACTTAGTAAAATACATGGAAAAAATCTTATTCATTGTGATTTTCATGATGGTAATATTTTAAATCATAATTATAAAAACAAAGATAAAATTTATATTAGTGATTTAGGATTATGTCAACCTGTGAAATCGTTTTTGAAAAAGCATGATATTTATGGTGTTATACCATTTATGGCACCCGAAGTTTTAAGAGGAAAATCTTACACTCCAGCTAGTGATATATATAGTTTTTCTATGATTATGTGGGAACTTACATCTGGGGTACCACCATTTAATGATAGAGCACATGATATTCAACTTAGTTTAAGTATTTGTAAAGGTGAACGACCTGAAATTATTGAAAATACTCCACAATGCTATGTAGATTTAATGAAAAAATGTTGGAATGAAGATCCATTGAAAAGACCATCTACATCAGAAGTGAATGGTATTATTAATAATTGGATTTTCTGTCCTTATAATAATGAAGTCAGTAAAGAAATAGTAAGCAACATTATGGAATTTATAAATGCACCAATTGGGCATAACAATCTTGCTACTAAATCTCATCCTAATGCATGTTATACAAGTCGCTTACTTGATTTTACTAGTAAAAAATTAAATGAAATTCTTGAAAGTGAAGATTCACAAGCAGATTTGAATGATTGTGTAATTAGAGTTTCAAGGTCATTAGGTATGTACTATAATATATAGAAAATTAATCTTGCAAATTATTTATGTGAAATTAATTTATTAATTTAAATATTAATATAGATGAAAATACTTGTGAAAAATTGAATGAAATTCTTGGAAGTGAATCTAGTAGAAAAATGAATGAAATACTAATAGTAAATGAAGATTTGAATGATTGTATAATTAAAGATTGAGGCAATTAGGTATGTACTATAATATATAAAAGAATTAATCTTGCAAATTATTTATGTGAAATTAATTTTATTTTAGATATTAACATGTTGAAAATTAACTAATTGTTTGTGGTTTAAAAAAAGTTTTATAGTTTTTTTTAGTGATATTTGATATCATGCATCATCAGAAATTGTTCTTTAATTTAGTATTCTTTTTAGATTTATTAAACACTAAGGCTAGAGTAGTAAAATATTTATAAAATTCTTAGTTTGCAATTTTAAAGTAGTAAATATTTTACAAATTTCTTGGTTTGTAATTAATAAATCTTATTTTTTTTATAACTTTTCCAATTATAAATATAAGTGATCAAAATAATATAAATATATAAAACCATTCTCAATGTATAAAAATTAAAAATAGATAATGTAAAATTTTTATGCTCATTTAAGAGCTGATTGTACTATTTAATTTATATTCATCATGATATTTGCCAAGTATTATAAATAAATATTTAATAAGTAATTTTATGATGTTGATTGACTATAATTAACCCAGAATATTTAAAATAAAAGACATTTGCTGATAAAAATAAACCAAAATTATATATTTAATAAAAAAAAACAAATTTCATATTCAATAAAAAAATCAAATTACATATTTGATAACAAAAAATTGAATTATTTCAATAAAAATAAATGGAATTAAATCATAACAAATTCTCTCAAAATGAAAATTGAAAAAAATTTGTTAAACTTTATTAAATAAATATAAATTACAATCAATCTATCAAACTTGTATCAAATTTATATCAAACTTGTATTTTATCCTATTTTATATATCATGAAGGTGATATTTTGACTTATATAAAAATTTTTTATATAAAGTAACTGTGTCCTGTATTAGAGGTCTGCAAAACCCAGAAACCCTAACCCGGCCCATACTTAGATCCGGGTTTGGGCTGGCAAAATTTCTTCAAAATTAACCCGGACCAAGTCCGGGCTGGCACATGATTTTTCATTAAATCCGGATTTTTGTAATTCTGGCCAAAATCGTTTTAATTCTGGCCGAAATTAAACTGGAGTTGGCCGATTTTTTTTGTTTTTACAACAAAATGATATAATAATAGTCTGGGTCTGGTCTGGGTCAGGTTTTTAATATATTAAGTCCAGGCCAGGCCGGGTTGTTACCAATTGGTCATGCTGATTGATAACTGATTCTTTCAACCAGTTACCTGTCAGCCATATTTTCATTACCAATCTGTTATATAACAAATTGGTAATTGATAGATTACAGATTGGTGCCAGTTTGATTAATCATTATCAATTAGTTATCAATCTGGATCCAATTAGATATAGGATAACAATTGGTAAAGTTAAAAATTAGCATTATATTATAGTCTCATGAAAGAAAGTCAGATTATACACAGCCTTTGAATTTTTTCAGATGAATATATTAAATCTACTATCAAAAATCAGTTATCAATTGGTTACCAATCTGATAAAGCTTGATCGATAACCAATTTGTGACTGATTAATTAATTGTGAAATTGATGTGGTCACCTGTATTATACATATACTGATTTGTAACTAGAATATTAGCCAACTTACCAGCTTTTTTTACCATTATGGTATTCTGATAAGTCTAATATATTGAATTCCCAATTTGCAATCAATTATATATTGTTAAATCATTGGTAAATCATTAAAAGTACTGATCTTTGCAAATGCACAATAGTTGGGTGACACAAAACCCCTATCTGCATTTTTATAAAAATTTTTTTTTTGATTTGTTTCTGAGATAATTCTTCTAAGTGTACAAATAACTCTAAATAGGACTCTAAGCAATACATATATAGGTAACAAGAAAGGTCAAAAGGTTTATAATAGCTTTATTAAGATAAATAAGCAAACTCAACATGTGATTTTATAAATTGCCCAAAAATCGGCAATCTAATCATATGACTTTATAATATTATATTTTGTACAAAAATCATTTGATCAATTTTAATTTTATAACAAAATGTTTCATTTTAATAATATCTTCTTATCCATCACAGTAATTTTTTTAATGCCCTATTAACTTTTGCATATTAATCATCACTATGTTAGATGTTATATAATGTATTACCAAAAATAAGCAATTGTAATATATGACTTTTCAAAAATTCTATGAAAATAAGCGAATTAAAAATATGACACTAGCAAAAAATATTATTAATTTTACGCAAATCCAATCTCTAACTGTAAGTAAATGATATTGTTACCTATACATATATTGCTCAGGGTCCTCATTACCAAGAAATGGGGCCAGAAGTAGCACCACATTAGGAGGATTTTGGATGCAAGTAAGCTTATTTTCAGATTCTGGCTTCTTAGGCGGAATATAAGTTGTTTTTGGAAGTTCACCATTTAACTTAAAGTAAAAAATTTTATTTATTTTAACGAACTTTATTTATTAATAGTTTATTTCTTTTTTAAACAGTAAATTCTTTGGGATTTGAATTTGAATTTGGTCTTTTAAAGAAATGGTTCTAACGTTTCATTTTTTTGTAAATATCGGTGGCCTTCAATTTCAAGGATCTGGGTTTAGACTTGGATTTGATAAGTTTTAAAGATTTCGCTCTGAAACCTTCTTTTTAAACCATTTTTTTTATTTTTATTTGCTTTTTTGTTGTAGGTACCTACCCTCGATCCCTGGATTGGACTTTTTTGTATGAGTAAGTTTTGAAGCGATCGTTTCAAAACTTTAATAATTTTAATATTTTTTTAATTTTTTTGTAGATATCGATGGTGTTGATAAATTTTATGTTGGCGAAGCAGGTGTCTGCGGTTAATTAAGTAATAATTATCCAATATGTGCTGCAGTTAAACAAAAAAAAGAATGATTTTTTTGTTTAAATAAAATTAAACGAAATTACTCACATATCTACCATTATATTTTTTAATACCATTGTTCGTCCATGTTAATCATATGTAAGAAATTTTTCTTGGCAAGAACAATGTTAAATGTGCATATGTTCTCACATAACAACTGAATAAATATAAATTATTTCCTGGCCTGAAAACTTATACAAAATTGATGAAAATGCTAAACTCAAGAATAAAACTACATAATTAAAAAAGAGAAAAAGCTATTAAAAATTTTTCAGAATAATGTCCATGATTGAATGCAAAAGCTTATAAATAAAAGTATACTATATTATAAATAAGTAACATCTCATACTTCCAAAAAAAATTTTTTTAAATTGCTATTATTTTATGCTTTCTGTAGAAAAATATACAAAATAACTTTAAATTTATTAAATTATTTGGGATGGTAAATTGGAAGATTGGAGTGGATATTATTTTTTATAAACAATGTGAAAAATAATCTTTTCTTGAAATAATAATCGGGTAAATGGATTGAAATATTACTTATATTCTTTTTTTGATACAGTATATTAATTTTTAAAGTTATGAATTCAATTCCAAGATCTGAATTTAGTTCAGTTGGGTAGGAGTTTAGAATAAATCCATATAAACGAGTATTTGCAGAAGATAATATGCTTAATTTGATACAGTATAACAGATATTTATTATTTGGATGAGAAAAAATCTTTTGATTGCTGCACAATATAAATCACATATAATTTTTATTAATTGAGATTATAAATTCCAGGAATAAATGAAAGCACATGGAATATTAGGATTAACTTTTTTTACATTGTGCTTTTGTCGATTATTATTGTAAATATTATTCTCTTTTGTGATTAACCAACCATATAAAGAGATTAAAGATCTTGAAATTTGGCATTACATTTATTTATATTAAACATCATAACAGACACTAGAGTTGAATCAGCTCTGTGAGAATCAATCGATAACCAGTCCTCGGACATAATTTATTAATTTTAATATATGTATACGTTTAAAGATTAATAAACTTATTTATTTTATTTATAAATTTCATATTTATTATTACATTTATAATTTGGTTTGACCAGCGATATAAACGAATCAAGACCAGTCTTTTGGGACCGGTAGCCGGACCAGACCTATCCAACTTTAATTGATACATTCTTTTAATATAGGAATGAGATTAAGAATGACGATGAAATAAATGTTGACCAAGTCTAAATAGGATAGAACAAATAACTTTTTAAATTTTGTTACGAGGAATCATAGATAGTTAATTCATTGAAAAGTTCTGTTATTCTGTAAATAACCTTTAAGAAAAAGAGAATGTTGACAAAAAATGTTTGACTACGATGTACAAAGTACCTTTAACAATTTGTGAACGTCAGCCTTGAGTTACAGTATCACAAGACACAAGGTCATCATTGCCATCAATGATTACGTTATGTAAAGCATGTACAAATATTGTGTAATATTATATATTGAATATTATATATTAAATATTATTAGTTTATTTATTTATTTAAATAAGATATTATTACTTCCAAAGGTATTTGGATCCGGAACAAATATTTGGTAATTTTGTTATAAATCAAGTTATGTTTTAATATATTTCTCAATTTTTTTTTAGTAAAATTATTTAAGTTTAAAATTATCATATACTGTACAACCCAATACAATCAAAATCATTTTTTTTACATATGAAAAAAAATGTATAGAAATAAAGAATATTCGATTTCTATTTTTCGAATGCTGCGCATTCCTATTTGATCCAGTAATTTTGAAAAGAGGTAATTCATTCAAAGCTTAGCCAACTGCATAACATAATTATGTATTGATGTAATAATTATTAATTATACCACAATTGTAAAAATTAATTTATTATTTAGGTATTGTAATAATATATATCGATCATATTGAACTTTACTCAAAATGACAAATTTTTGCTTTTGTTCCTTTTGTAAGGTTGGCGCAGCAAACATGTAATATGTATACACAATATATATTAATCAAAATATATCAATATATATATTATATATTATATTATTATAATTGTATTCCAATTATTTCGGATATTATTCGATGAAAAAAAAATTGTTTATGTTGATTTATGTTGATCCATTCTTTCCGCAGTCTTTTCTTTTTTTATTTAACCCAAATTAGTTAATGTATGTATGATGTATTACAACAAACATATTCATTTTTAAAATACTTTCAGTAATTACACAACTTTTTTTTTCTTTTACTATCATTTCCCCCTTAAAATGAAATGATTGACTAAAAGTATAAATATTACCTATATATTTTTATAGAAGGTATAAAATTTTAAATCGTTGACAGACTTAAATTTTATGTGCGTCTTTGTATGATAAGCTTAAATCTATTATACGTATGTCTGTCTATTCGTACTAACGAACGATTATATTAAAGAAATTTTTTCTCTCTCTCTTTTTTTTTTTTTGTTTAAAAGAAAGATGTGTTCGCTTGGTGTTTGTAATTTTCAAAATAAATATTGTGGTTGTCAAACTTATAAGGAAGATGAGAATAATCCAGAGAAATGTTTTTATTGCAATCATTATAATGCGTTTCATACCGGTTTTTCGCCTCCACCTCAAAATACTTCAACGCCATTATTGGGAACTTGTCAAAAAGATGGGGTTTCTTGTGGATGTCAAGCTTTTGTCGCTAATCCTAATAACGAATTAAAGTGCAAATATTGTGATCATTTTACTGCATTTCACAAGTATACTTCTCCAGATAGCTCTCCTTTATCTTCTAGCTTGACTAATATAGAAAGTAATTTGTCATCATCCTTGTTGTCATCATCATCAAATATTAATACTTCTGCTGGAGATTCTAGGTTCAGAGATGAAGCCATTAAAAATAGGTCTATGCCTATTATTAAAAAGAGAAAAAGAAATCAAAGATTTCGTAATCAAAATTCACCTAATACTATTGCTTCTAGAGGTCGTCCTGCTAACGTATCACTTGGTCTTAATCACTTATTATTGTTTACACAAGAAAGTTGGGAAAATAATTCAGCTCCAAGAGAAAATACCTCGGCTTGGATTGAAATGAGAGATAATGGTCTTATTATTGAAAATGTATTATTTAATGAAAATACTGCTGAAGCTATTAATGCTTTAATTACTCGTTCTTTTCCATCCGTTAATGAATATAATTGGATTATATTAAACGGTTCTACAAGTAAATTAAAAGCTGCTACCAGTCAGGTAAATTATATATATAATTATTTACTAATTTAAAATATGTTTTAAATATTTCATTAATTCGTATTTTAATGTTTGTGTTTTTTAGGAAAAATCTTTAAAGAATTTTAGAGAAAATATGTCAAAGAGCAACAAAAGATTATACCTTGGTAATTATAATTATAATAAATATTCCTTTTTTTTTTGAATAACGTATTTAATAATTAAAGTTACTTTTTTTTCAATTTTAGCTTTAACATCAAATAATTCTAGCGAAACAGAGGCGGATAATAATCATGATGAAGATTTTGAAATTAAAAGCGAATGCACTGATTGATTCGAAATTTCATAAAATTTAATTTTTTTTAAGTTTAAATAGTAAACATGGATTTTTTTTTAATTGATATATTAACAATTTAAATAATTACAATAATATTAATTTCATGTTTAATTTGTTCGTTATGTATAATTAGACTAATTAGATAATATATTCATTGAATATATTCATTGTGTTTCATTAAAAATTTGATAAAAATTTTTTGTAAATTTGTAAAAAAAAATTCAAATTTAAACCTAGAAATAAAAGTTCTTGATAGCTTTGAATTAAAGTTTCTTAAGTTTATTTTTTCATTTTAACTTCAGATTTTATTAATATTTAATGTAATTAAATTTTAAATTCAATAAAAATGTGAGAAAATAATATATATTTTTGTGAACGTTAATCTTAAATTGAAATTTTACTATTTTCTTAATAATGTTTATTGGAGTGATGAAGACCTGTTTTTATACATTAATATCCCTTTTTCAAAAAAATTTAAGTCGTTTACTCTCGCAGTAATCTTTTCATAATTTCTTGCATATTTCACAAATATCACAAATGTTTATGATATTGGATGAGAAAAATTCACATTATGAAGTAGCGTTGCGGACAAAATTACAATAAATATAAACAGGCGCCCAAGTTTAAAGACCCATGAAAACAACCAATTAAAACCATAACAATCCATACCTTATGAATTAAAGAAATAATAAAATTAAAATATATAAAACCTCATAATAAATTATATCAAAAGTTCCTTAAAACAGTAATAATATATTTACCAATAATGAATACACTTGTATAAACGTTATTTCTATAATATGTAAAAGAATTTAAAAAATATTTATAAAATACACGTAATATCGATTCATTAAACTTACAAGTAATATCGTATTATTCTCTAATAATATTTAAACGGTTAATACTTCACGCTTTCGAGTTAAATAAAGTAGTAAATTTTTCGTCTAGGCGTACTTGTTATACGTAGATCACCTCGTTCTGAGTCTGCTGTACTGCTGTACTGCAAATATTTTATTATTCAACCAATAAAACATAACAAATATCACATGTTCTAATATCATCTCTCCTAACAAACATAAGTACAATCCACGAAAGCTCCGCACCTTGAAAATATTTAAACATATCTCTGTTAGTAAAAATTTTGTCAAAGCTACTTAATATACAAACATCAAAAGTGAAAAGCTTACTAACTTACTAATAAAATACCCTCTTCCTGAGATCAAAGTTGCCTTGAGTGATTTGAAACAGTACTACCGAACTTTTGGGCAAAATGTTTTCCTTCATCAAAGAACATTTCAACTCGAGATTCATCCCGATCTGCCTAAAAAAAAAATGATTGGATCTTAATTTATTCAATAAAAGAGTCATTATATTCTTTAGTAAATAAATACTGTAAATTATGAGCTTATAAAAAAAAAGTTTGCAGAATACATATTTTATTTACATGCAAATTAAGTAAATTATGTAACTTTAAAGAAATATCGTCGATACATACCTCGATATCTGATGAAAGAACAAAGAAATCATATATTGGGAAAGTATTTCCTAATTTTGGTAAATGTGAGCTAATGAAAGGTTCAATTACTTCACACTACTGCAGTCTGCAGAATTGTGGCTGATTTACCATATTGCTAAATAAAACCATATTGTACTTTCAAAAACAGGCTAATAACTGGTTTATAGGAGTACAGGAGTACAAGTACTTATATAATAATTTTTTTTGGCTGCTAATAGACTATTATTTGACTTCTCAACATACCCGGATTTATTATACGCGAATAAAAAGCACAAAGCACAGAAAATTAAATAACGCATAAATGGATTCTTGCCTGTTTTGCTGTTTTGTGAACTAAATAAAGAAACTATGAATAAATGATAGGCCTTTTATAATCAAAACTTAGATCGTATGTTACATTCACACGATTTTTCGTAACTCCGTTAATCTTTTCGCCGCTTTCTGCTGTGAAAATCGCTATTATTTGCGTACGTTGGTCTACATTTTTAGAAATGATAGATACAAACAATTACATCTTCTGCTTGCACAAGTGATCTGGTGATTAATCTGTACGACTTGTATTACATACTATTACACTTTTTTTAGCGATTAATAAATAAGCTAAGCCCGACTTTGGTCCTAACGATGTGTACACGTTCTTGGTTCAAATTAATAAAGACATAACCATTGAAGAATTTAAAGAAGCCATAAAAAAAAGATTGTGATTTTGATCACTTTAGAGATGGTTGAAATTCCAAACAACTACGGTGACATGATTAATTACTTCCGAGATATCCTCTCTGGAGATGAACTAATTGCAACTGGACGATTGATGCACCTCTTGAAGGGAGTATTCACATTTTAGTTAGACTTCCTAGACAGGTGATAATATTGGGCACCAGAAGTGATGATTATGCCTAAGAGAATTATACCTTTGAAGATGTGATCGTCTGTGAGGATACTGACGTGTAAGTTTTTTATCGTGTTAACATTTTTATAACTCAAATGAATATTTTGATCCGGTTTTCTGGTTTTTATTGTTATGCATCATTTCTCTTACCAAAGAAACGGCATTTGTTCGGCTTACCTGAATATGAGTTCTCTATGACCATCGATGAAATTGGTTTATTAAAATCTTCTCAAAAATGCTTTGGAATCTTGCTTACATTATGGAAGAAGTCTGATTAACCGACTGGAATACGAGGTTCCTCCGTGTTAACTGATTATTATAATCGATGACTTTCGTTATATACTTTCAGTAGCGAAAATGTTAAAATAAATACGATCATAATTCAACAGAAAAATTTTAATGATGTAATGATGTAATGATGTAATATAGTATTAAGAAATTGAAAGAGTTTGTCACACCAAATAATAATGTTCGAGATTTTTCATGTAATTTTCCAAAAATTCAAAAAAGTATTGAAACTTGTTGTTTATAAACTCTTCTTACATAAAAAAAAATAAATTGAAATACCTATTCATTTCAAATAGACAGATGTATATAGTACATCTGCGTATATAATTACAAAAAAAAATAAATTTGAAGTTCTTTAACTTCTCCTTTGCTTTATGTTATTACTACTATTTTTGCTTGTACATTTCTATTAAATAATTACTTTGATTACTTTTTAATTTCTTCGCTTGAAAAATTGATACCATCTTCCCAATTATTAAAAATAATTAGAAAGATATAAATTCGGGTTTCTTAATAGAACAAATTTTAAGAATAAATAAATTCAAACTATATAATGATAATGTAGCTAAAATGTTGAATAAATTATTCCATCAGCGTCAGAAACCATTTAAATGTTGACAATCAATTACCAATTCTTCTGAATAATTACCATCCTTATATATTAATCAAAGATAGATAAGGTTTGGACCATTTTGATGAATAGCATGAATAATGTTTTTATTACTAACCAACATCAACATAATAATAATAAAAAAAAAATTTTGGTAAGATATTACCAAGAACTACAATTAAACTTACTAAACAATCTAATGAATCAATTGGAATATCAATAGCGTTTAAAGTTTGTAAGAAAGATAAAAGATAAATCCCTTATACTGTATATTCTCATCATTCCAATTCTCTATCACTCCATTTTGTATACCAAGTACACGTGTACAATATTTTCAAATTTACAAAAAATGAATGAAATTTCGTTTCAAGATGTCCATATATTTTATAATATTCTACAGTATTACATGTCTATTGTTTAACTAAAGAATTCTCAATAATTCTACAAAATAACTTATTATTCTGATAGTGGGCCTTATTTAGTACTAAATATAACTTTTCTTTTTGTTTTCAATTAATTTAGAAATTTCATAATTGTTATCAGACTTGTAAATAAAGGTTTAAATCCTTCTGAATTACATATTTTTGTTAATGAATCTAAAATATTATGATCTTAACTAAGGAATTTAATTTCCGTTCGGTTCCAGAAAATGAAATGATGATCATATATATTCCATATTTTCATATATTCCTAAGAATTTTCTTCACGAGATTCTAATAAATATTTGACCATAAAATTTTATTAACTTCTCAAAGACACGAAATAAGAGACTTTTTATGTAATTCCTCGATTATTAAATAAAGAACGTTTCTATATAATTTCGACATTTTTCTAAAAATTTTTAGTGTCAAGAATACAAATGATTGTTTAAGTTTATAAGTTTACTTTTTGTGACGCGCTCTTCGTAATGACCGATCTTGTTTTTTTTAATTTTTTTTTACATTCTTGGTATCTTCACGTCTTGCAAAAGAGCCTCATCAGCCTCTATATACTTGCTTCATATACACCATAACAATATGTCATTCTCGAAACCTATTCTTCCTTCACTCTCGTCAAATCTTCCAGTTGTTTCATGTGAAATCAGCTGATCATCAGGATACACGAATCAATCGAATTTACTTTTTTAACATTAATAATTATCTCGGGAACACTGCTGTTCTTAAGAATAAATTAACAAGTCAACACAAAATTCCAAATTAGTAAACTTCTCTCATTTTTCTCAAATTACTAAAAGTATTCCTACACGCGTGAACAACAAATATTTTAACAAGATTCGTACCATTGCTCTAGACAGTCTCAATTATATTGAAAAACGTGATAACTCTAAATTTTTTAGTTTCCATTTATGTAACTATTACGTAGAACACATGTTTCAAAAATGTCTAATACCCTCTTCCAAGTTCAGAACTCCTTTTCAGACAATATCACGATTTCCTAATAGATGTTCATAATTTAAAAATCCTACATTCGCATGCCACCAGTCTGAGGTGTACATTAATCACGTGACAAAAATATACACCAAAACGATTGAGCTGAATACTATAAAGACATCACATATACAAGAACCAATCCAATTAAAGCAAAATTATAACTTAAAGACAACAAAACCGCCGCGAACGACTTCTTAGAAGTCGCACAAAAAAACACTACAGAGCTTGCCTACGCGACCACTAAATACTGGTGCTTACATTCACCTTAACAAATCATCAAGAAATTCATTCATCATATACGCTACTCAAACGTTTCCCGTTACAAGTCCTAAGATTACCAAATCAATTGTTCATATATCTACGCCTCCTTGTTTATCTATAAAAAACAGATCGACACCGGATGGATGGATTGCTCTCCCAATCATTCTGACCTCTTAACCTTCAAATTCAGATAAAACTGAACGCAAACGAGGATCCGCCGACTGGTGATCCTACCTAAAGAAAGCCAAGCACGATTTATGAACGAGTATAATTTCGCAAAAAATGTGAAGAACAAGAAAAGTAGGTACAATTAGCGGAGTATTTTGACAAATGGATTGCAGCCACCAACCGGTTTAAGTTTAACCGCCATTAAATATAAATTCCATAAATTACCCGAAAATTTTCAACGGTAGAAAACGATAAGAAAGAGATCTAACTTAAAGTTGTTGAATTTTTCCGGTATATCTATCTTATCATCTATTAATCGTATTATTTTTTGATATTTTCTTTGATGGCTTATTAATAATTTGTCAAATATTAATCGCACTTATTATTATTCTTCGAATTAGGACGGATACAAATTTTATTCATGTGATATATCATAAAGTAATTTACTGTATATATTAAAATTAAAATTCAACACTTGTTACCCATATAAAATCTTTTATTAAAAAAAAAAAAAAAAATTACAAAGAATAAAGAAAGAAAAATAATTAATTAAATATCTTAACTGTTTTATATATTAACAATTTTCATCATTCCATTTCCCTCTTTCTTATAAATTTACCACGGATATTTATTAAATTTCTTTTTAAATCTATTCCAGATACTAGTTGATTTAATCTCAGAATTCTTAATGACGGACTCAGGATTATTAATTACTCTTTTTGTTTTATATATTTCTAATAAATCAGAATCTTCATCATAATGATAATGAACAAAATTTTTAATTACACCTTTTTCTTTATATATTTCTATTAAATCAACCAAATCATCATAACCACTTTCATAATAATAATCTCTTTCTTTTTTAAATTTTAAAGAAATAGGAAATCTACCTTCCCAATTATCAAAAAATAATTTTAAAGATTCCAATTCAGGATTTTCATCAGTATATTTAAAAACGAATTCAAATAAACTAGAAGGGGAAGATTTAGCTAAAATATTAAATAAATTATCCCATTTAACATAAGAATAAAAACTTACATGAAATAAAGATTCTTTATAATAATAAATATTAAAATCTATTCTTTTTAAATATTGACAATTAATTAATAATTTTTCTAAATCTAATATATTTTCATTCCTATATAATAATTCAAGATAAATAAGATTTGGACAATTATGATAAATAGCTTGAATAAGTATTTTATTACTAACCACATCATTATAATAATTATAATAACAAATTTTAGTAAGTTGTTTACCGGAACTTAGAATTAAATTTGCCAAACAATTAATTGGAATATTACTAGCTTTTAAAGATTGTAAGGAAAGTAAAGATAAATCTTTTATATTATTCCATTTCGATTCACCATCAGTTCGTTTACCCATTAATTCCAACATTTTCAAATTTACAAAGGATGTAAAAACTTTCGTTTCAAGTTGTTCACGTATACCAAAATATTGTATAGTATCCGCATGTTTGATTAATGAATTCTCAATAGTCATACGAGACGGATTGTCACCAATAAAATCATTTAAAAAACTAATACTAGATAATCTATTTTGATTTTCAATTAATTTTGCAATCCCACAATTATAATTATATTCATAAAGTGTAAGTTCCAATTCTTTAATTGATTTACATGTTTTAGTTAATATTGATAAAATATTATCATTAATTCTATCATTACATTTAAGAAATTTAATTTCTGAAATACAAGATTCAGCACCAGGATTGAAATGATAATCAAACTTTTTAGGTATATAAAGGTGAGTATAATCCATATTTTCATTAATAAAAAGATTCAATATATCATTTTTAATTTCTTTAAAATTAGAATGAGGAGTTAATTTTTTAATTATTTTTTTAATTACTTCTAAATTTAAATGTTTGCAAAAACTAAAATAATTAAAAGAAGGTTTCTTATATGGATTTGTAAAATAATTAATTAAATTATTTTTTGTTTCATCTGATAAATATGAAATGATTACGTTTAATAATGATTTCTTCTTTCCATGAGTTAACCGTTCCCAAGGATTTTTCCATAAAATTGGAACAATTATTTCACACCAAGCTTTATTAACTCTAAGGCATAAAACAAGTGATTTTTTATCATATTGTAATTCTTCAAATATTAAATAAAGAATATCTCCATATAATTTTGACATTATTATTTTTTTTTTTTAAAAAAAAAAAACCTTTTCAAAATAATAAAAAAAACAAATTTAATTAAAAAAAATTTTTTTTTATTTTTTTTTTTTTTTTACTATTATTCTTCATTAAACCAACATAAAAATATTTTTAGAATATTCATTTAATTCATATAAATCGTATCATAAAGTATTCTGTTGAATGTTGATCGGTTATTTTAAGGATTTTCTTTATATTAATATATATATGTATTGTATATTTAAACTACAGATAGAACTAAAGATTCCCAATATGTAAAACGACCTCAATATTTATAATATTTATATTATTAAATAGTTTTTTCCTCATTTGGTATTTTATAGAGTGATAATAATGGTGGGGAAAAGTATTCAATAAATTCCTATTATTATCATTTGTAGCGTAAAACGTTTACCCCTGAAATTATTTAAATGAACTCTAATATTTTAATATAATATAATAATATATACTGTCATATGAAAAAATTTTAAGTGGATGTGATTGTTTTAATCTAAATATTTGAAATTTTATATATCGGAATTTATATTAATAATTTTTTTTTATTTTATTTTTATTTTTTATGGATAATTTAGTAAAATTATATCTATTTAATTTGAACCAATAGAATGGATGTTTGACAAACAGAAATAATTACCTTAGAAGGATCCCATACTGATGATCTCATATTATTGTTATATATATTGGGCAATAACATACTAAAGTAAAATAAATAAAATAGAATAGAATAGAATAGAACAGAATAGAATAAAATAAAATAAAATAGGACAATAATATGCTATTTACGTGACATAATCTTATACTGTCAAATGAGTATTACCTAAGGAGACAATAAGTGTTTTATTATAGACTCTCAAGACTTCACTATTAAATCAGTCATAAGTTTATTTATAGTCTATTTAAGGTTTTATTGTATAAAATAATTTATGCTCAGTTTAATTTATATAGTAACGAGATATTTTTTAAAAAAATATATTTTTACCGTTATAATATGTTTATTAATATACGAAAAAAAAAATATTACGTTTAAGAATGAATTTATTGGGTGAAACTTAAATATTACTCAACCTCTAGGTTAAAATTTTAATTGGCTCATATTTTTATTGATTAATTGTTTAAATTGAAAATTTTTTCACAAAAATTATTTTACTTTTATATAAAAATAATTTATACGGTAAATTTTTATTTGTTAAATACAATGAAAAATTATAAATTCATACACTTATAGTGCTTTCAAAACTTATTTTATTATTTTTTTTTTAGAAAAAATAAGAGCGACAAATTTATTCCCATTCGAAATAAAAATTTTTACATGGTTAATTATAGTTACACAAAAAGAAAATAGTTATAAAAAAAAAAGAATTACAACTATAAAAAAGGTGTAAATATGCCAATAAAAAAAGAATAACAGCAAAAAAAGATGATATGGATGAAAGAAGTGAAAAAAAAAGTTGATAGTATGTAAAGAAGTGAAACAAAAGTATGATATAACGAAAGAGAAGTAAAAAAAAAAGGATGATATAAACGAAAAAAAGGATGATAGGACGAAGAGAAGCGAATAAACAGGATGATAGGACGAAAATAAATGAAAAAAGGATGATAGGGAGAAAAAAGTGAAAAAAAGATTATAGGGGCGAAAGGAAGTGAATAAAAGATGATGAGGATGAAAGGAAGTGAAAAGGACGATAGAGAGTGAAAAGGAAGTGAAAAAAATAACGGAGGAAAAAAAATAATGGAAGAAGAAAAATAATGGAGGAAAAAAATAATAGAGGAAGAAAAAAAATAAAAAGGATAAAAATAATGTTAAAGAGTGAAAAATAATTAAGGAGGAAAATAATGAGCCGTCACCATCACCATAAAAAAACAAAGAAAAGAAAAACTGAGTGGTTAGTATCATTTCAAAGCAAAAAAAAAAATAATAGAAAACAATAAAGTAACAAGAAAAGAAAGACTTACCTCATCAGGAGTACCCTGCGACGGGGGCGTAACATGCGTAAACTCGTGAATTTGCATGAATTTGTTTATATAAACTCATGGGTATCAGGACATTACGCCGAAATCATTACGCCGAAGTCATTACACCGAAAGCAATTTCATTTCGCCGAAGGGATGTTTCTCCGAATGAACGTTTCACCGAAAGTACGTTTCGCCGAAATCCCATTTCATCGAATTCCATTTCGCCGAATCCATTTTACTGAATGAACATTTCGCCGAATGGATATTTTATTTCGCCTAAAATTATTTATTCCTTATCGTTTTTATACTAAATAAAATCTTTTCTAGAAGAATTTTTGATTTAGCTAGATGACTTTTATAAATTTATCTCGTTGTTTATAATACATTAATCTTTTTTTTACTTACTTTTTCGTGAATAAATGTTTTCAGAAAATAAAGTTATTTATTTATTGCTTGACAATTTATATCAGTTGCTTGAATGTTAAAGTGATAATATCCTGGAAAAAAAAAGATCTCTAAAAAATAATTTCATTGCGCTATAAATATTTTTATAAAAATACTAGTCGCTACCATTTCAGTGAAATGGAATTCGGTGAGATGGAATTCGGTAAAATGTACTTTCGGTGAAATGTCCCTTCGGCAAAATATCCCTTTGGCGAAACTTCAATTCAGCGAAATGGCTTCCAAAACTCATGTAGGATTACATCCTAATCGCACGCAGGAATTCATACATCTAAGATAATTCCCGGAAAAGAAGTCGTCTTGTTATCTAAAGAAGAGAATAAAGTTAGCGCAAAAGCAAAAAGAAAACATTAAAATGCAAAATAATAAAAATAACGCAATAAAAAAAAAAAATTACCTTAAAAAAATTTCAAAAAAAAGTCATTTTAAGTTGAATGGCACTACAAAAAGTAAAAAAAAATGAAAAAGAGGGAAGGCACATGATGACATATTTATCTCTCCCGAGTGAAAAAAAAAAAGTTTAATGACAATTAAAAAATTAAACAAAATGATCAATTAAAAAATATCTTTTTAAATCTACTCAAGATGCTAGTTGCTTTGGACTCAGAATTCTTAACGATGTTCTCAGGATTATTTACAACGTTCTCAGGAATATTACCGACGCTCTCAGGATTATTAATGGCTTTTTTTGCTTTATAAATTTCTAAAAAATCCAAGTCTTCATCATAATCATAATGAATAAACTTTTTAACTACTCCTTTTTTTTTATATTTTTCAATTAAATCAATTAATCCATCATATCCACTCTCATCATAGTGATAACTTTCTTTTTTAAATTTTAAAGAAATTGGATGTCTACCTTCCCAATTATCAAAAAATAATTTTAAAGATTCCAATTTAGGATTGTCATTAGTAAATTTGAAAACAAATTCAAACAAACTAGGTGGTGATGATTTAGCCAAAATGTTGAATAAATTATCCCAAGGAAAAGAACTTCTATGATGAACATTATAGACATTATAATAAAAATAAATACAAAAATCTAATCTTTTTAAATATTGACAATTAATTAATAATTTTTCAAAATCTATACTATTCTCATTCTTATATAAAAATTCAAGATACATAAGGTTTGGACAATTTTGATATATAGCCTGAATAATTTCTTTATTATCAATCACACTACGATTATGATGATAATAAATTTTTGTAAGTTTTCTGCCGGATCTTTCAATTAAATTTATCAAACAATTAATTGGTATGCTACTAGCAATTAAAGTATGTAAGGAAGGTAAAGTTAAATCCTTTATATTATCCCATCTCAATTCAATATACGGATTAGCACTTATCAATTCCAGAATTCTCAAATTTACTAAAGATGTAAGAACTTTCGTTTCAGGTTGTTCACATATACTAAAATATTGTATAGTATCAGCATGTTTGATCAATGAATTTTCAATAATTTTACGAGACGAACCGCCATCATAAAAATCATTTAGAAAATTAACACTAAATAATCCTTTTTGGTTTTCAATTAACTTTGCAATTCCACAATTGTAATCATTCCCATAAGTATAAAATTTCAATTCTTTAATAGATTTGCATGTTCTCGTTAACATTGATAAAGTATTATCTTTTACTTTACCAATACATCTAAGGAATTTAATTTCTGAAAAACACTGTTCAGCTCCAGGAAAAAGATGATAGTCACGATAGTTGGGCATATAAAGATGTGTATATTCTGCATTTTCATTAATAAAAAGTCTGAGTATATCATTTCTAAATTCTTCATATTGAATATAAGCATTCATCACATTTTCGATTACTCCTAAATTTAAATGTCTACAAAAACTAATATAATTAAACAAAGGTCTCTTATATGAATTTGTATAAAAACCGAAATGTTGATTTATGCTAGTTCTTGCTCCATCCGACAAATGTGAAATGATTACGTTTAATAGTAATTTCTTCCTTCTAAGAGTTAAATGTTCCCAAGGATTTCTCCACAAAATTGGAATAACTATTTCACACCAAGTTTTATTAACTCTAAGACATGAAGCAAGAGACTTTTTATCATACTGTAATTCTTCAAATATCGGATAAAGAATATCTCTATATAATATCGACATTTTTTTTTTATTTCATTATTTAAAAAAATTTTTTTTTGTGTCCGAGTTGTTAATAGTGACTTGTTGTACATCAAATTGTACGTTAGACCTAATTATAAATATTGAGTCACACAATGATGCACATTATGATGATCCACACAATAGGGGTTAGTTAGTTAAAATGATTTTAACTATTAAGGGGATGGATCATCAACAGTAGAAAATCATTGAACATTATATAATTAATTTTACGGGCTTTGTAATAAATATTTTTGTTCTTTATTTAATAAGTAAAAAAAAAATCTAACTAAATATTTTACAAAACTTGCATTATGGGTATATATATGTTATATTGGCAGGAACTATACAAAATTATCAAGAATGTAATCATTAAAAAAAGATTCAAATAAAGCTAAATAAAGCCAAAATAAAGGTTTAAAACTAAATAAAAACCAAATATAACTTAATTGTAAAAATTATTTAAAAATATTTCGTCCGAATATTTGCGTTATCACAATAAGAAATTTGCTATCAGAATCTTGCGTTCCTACATAGAAAAGTCAAAAGATGTGAAATTCTAGCGATTTCAACTTTGACACTATCTGTACGTCATATCACGTGATGAGACGATTGAGACGACCATCCGAGTATTAGCCATTTTGGCAATAATCGGTATTATTAAATTTCTCCGGTAAAGTACCTTAAGTTATATATGATATATGAACCTTTATTTTGTCTCATTGAACATATCAGATATTTTAGAATGTTCATACAATTCACAAAATACCACCAATGAATTCCTGAAAAGCTAGGAAAATTTCTAATATCATATTCTGTTAATTCTGATCGGTTACTACTAGTATTCAAGAATTTATTAATTAAGTTAATTAATTATCACATTTCAAATATATGAATATATGGGCGCTTTGCAGTAGAAAGGGACGAAACTACTAAAAAAATTCAAATTTTCTTTTATATGCCAAAAATATTCTAAATGTTATAATTTGTTCAGATTTTATATTAACTCATTTTTTATTTTTTTTAGTAGTTTCGTCCCTTTCTACTGCAAAGCGCCCAATTATGATAGAATAAGTTTTAATCATATTTTATTTTATTTTTTTTTAAGTTAGTAATGCATTTTATTTATTAATTATTTAGACACGAAGGACTAATAATTACATACAAAATTACCTAGAACAATTAATACAAAAACTATTAATGACTCTATAACTAGCCCCAATCTATCTAAATGGTCTAAAAAACTAATAAATCTAAAAAACTTTAAAAATTTATTAAGTTTATAAATTTGATCGTCATATTACTAAGCTAAAAATGTTTTTTTTTATTTTTTTTTTAATTTTTTTGATTATATCCCATGTGGCCATGTGGCCATGTCTTCTTGATTTTCTATATTTATTGCTATATGATATGAATTTTGTTAATCTTTATAAAAAAAAATATAAAAGCAAATAAAAAATCAAAAAAATAAAAAGAAAATCTGAATATTAATATATTAAGAAAAAAAGCTTATCAATCTACGCTCTTGCCAGAAAAGTATTCGATAGTCGTCCGAAATTTCTCCAATCGTCCGCGTTATCTTCAAACCAATTCCAAGCATAAATAAATAAACTTTATCCTCAAATTTGTTTAATCCTACAAGAATAATTAATTGTTTACTCGTCATCAGCGTGCTCCCTGACACACTGACTTTTCATTATGCGTTTCTTATTTTCGTTTAGATTGTCGTCTTCTGAATCCACATTATCTTTATTGCAAGTTCTCGAGCTTGTTGCCTTCTCGTTATTACTAATTTCTTTCATTCTTTTACTAAATTCATTATTTAAATTGTTGTAATTCTCATGTTCTTCTTTGCTTCATAGTACTATCGACACCGCGTTTAGTTTAGAACTCGTCAATGCATCTTCGTCTTTTGGACTGTGCATTTTCTTTTTGCTGAGTTCCTATACCGCCGCTTTGTAAAATTACCATCTTTTCCTATAATCTCATCCTGTCCTTTCATTTGCAAACCTTTACCTAAATCTTTTCCATTGTTGAGCCATATACAGCTTTTAAAAGGTCTTGCTCGTTGTTAAAATATATCAAAATATTTTTCACCTTGTTTATTTTGATAATTTTTGCAAGATTACCTCTGTATTGTACAAGTATATAGTTTCTGATAATTGTAAATTCTGCCTCTGCTCTTTCCTTTTCATCTTATAATTTTCACTGCTTACCAATTGTATCTTCTCTTTCTATCTTTCAACTCAAATTTTGCGTCAAACATCCTAAAAAAAATACTTTCGTTCATTTTTTTCTATTGTTATATTAGATGATAAACGAATTGTGGCTCGAACGGTCTTGTATTTAACATTCCGTCTGGCCGACAACTTTTCTACGTATCCGACCTTCTTTAACATTTCATATAATTCTTCATCCTTCCAATAAGCTGGAAAATCATAAAACTTTATGTCACATGATTGTTCGGCAAAAATTTTTTCCGGGTATTTATTATCGGATGTTATTTTAACCGGTATCATAAATCTGAATTAAAATTGTATCATACTCAAACCTGAATATTCGCCATCACTAGATCGTCACATGCTAACGACAGCTAACGTAGACTTTATAAATTAATAAATTTTAATATAATCTAACTATAAATTCTTTTTTTTGTGATTAGCCTGTGCCGATGATCTTTTGATTCTTTTCTCGGCCGACTTCCGTTCTTACTGGATTTGGATATTCTATTAAATTTCTTATTTGTACCTATCTCCCCATTTTCCTGTGATTTAATTTGTGCCTTAAGTTCGACTATTTCTGCCTCTTGTAACTTGATTACACGTGTTTTTTTTTCCAAATCAGCACTTCTTTTCTAAGTTTTAATCATTATCATTATGTTCAATATAATAATCTTACGTGTAGAAGGACTTAATAATTTATAGAGTAATGATAATATTAATCAACTACTCTTTATCTATAGGTATAATTTGTTATAACATAGAATATATATTTTCCAATTATCGCATATTATTTTAAAGATCCAAAACTTAATGTTTAATCTGCAGGCAGTGTTTCACGCTCCTATCCCGGATATCTTTGGACTTTAGTTCAGTTGTATAGCGAGGTTGGTTTGTAATTTTGTTGAAGAAAAATGTTGGCTTGTGTTATGACTTAAACATCAAAGAAGTTGTTTACCAAAGATTTTTTTGCGGTTTGTTAAAAATCATAGAGTTTTAACAGATAAACACTGTGATTCCGGCCTGCAGTATACTTCTACCAGTCTGAGTAAAATTATGGACAGCTTTTGGCACACACTAATAGGAAAGACATTCTGTTTTTATTGATTAATTTAATAAAAGTGTTTTCATTTAAATTCTTTAACATGAATTTTAGTTTAAACCTAAATTTTACTTAAATAGTTGATAAAAAAAAAATATCTTTCTTCCAAGCTTGCAATTCATTTGGAAAATTCGTATGTATAATATTTGAATTCCTATACTTGATTACACCTTTTACGTCTTCCAACTTTATAATATTTCGATTTATATCTCTTATCTATAGAAATGGGTTGTAATAGTATGGAAATCTATCTCTCATTAATCAAAATAAATATTTATCATGGGCGACTCACCAACCAAATGTCACATGAAAATAAGTGTGACAATATCGAACCAATCAAATTTAGTGTAACAAGCGAAAAAAAATCAAAAAAATATTTCGAACGCTTCTTTTATGTAATAAAACCATTATAAAATACCGTCAAAAATAAAGAATAACCCTTAAAAATATGCTGTTTATTATATAAATACATATAATATACAATAATTACAATAATTATTAAACAATAATGCCTAAAAAATAAAAATAAACCTATTAATATATTTAAAAAAAGTTTACAGCGTAAACTGCTATATAAAATGCCTTACTTTTAAACGTAATAATGTGCAAATAATGTTATAAAAATAGAGCACATTATACTAACTTTAACATGTCACATATTTACAACATCCAATAGGAAAACGATTCCCCACCATATTGTTTTTTTGTAGAAAGCTTATCTAAGTTTATTTTATTTGCAGATCATCACAAATTTCATATATATTCGGCCCATATGTATTCTTGTAAGATTTTTTTAATAATTATTAAAATTTAACAACTGAAATGTTCTTTGCTTTTTTATTGAACAGTTACATAAAATTTGGTTCAGAACATCATTGTGCATTCTTATTGTTTAAGTTTTTTTTCTTCTTAATTTTGTAACTAAGATGGATATTAATAAAAAATCACAAGTTTTTATTTTTAAAAAATTGGTATAAATATTTTTAATTTTACTATTTATANAAAAAAAAAAAAAAAAAAAAAAAAAAAAAAAAAAAAAAAAAAAAAAAAAAAAAAAAGAATAAAAAAAACGAAGAATAAAAAAATTTAATTAATTAAATATCTTTTTAAATCCATCAAAAATACAAACTGCTTTAGTCTTAAGATCTTCAACTACCCTTTTTGATTTTTCTTTACTTTCTATTGAATCATCATTATTATAAAAATTATTATCAAACCTTTTAATTACTCCTTTTGCTTTATATTTACTTATTAAATTATTTAATTTTTCTTCATGAGCAAGATTACTTTCTGTAAAAATGATTAATGACATAGGATGTCTACCTTTCCAATTATTAAAAAATAATTTTAAGGATTCTAATTTAGGTTTATAAAAAGGATAATGAAACGTAAATTTGAATAAACTAGGTGGTGATGATGTAACCAAAATGTTGAAAAATCTATCCCAATTTATAAAATTAACTTGCGGAAAATTCCAATTAAAAAATAATTCTAAACTATTTAAATATTGACATTTAATCAATAATTTCTCTAATTCTAAAACATTAACTTCTTTATAGAATAATTTAAGACTTATAAGGTTTGGACAATGTTGATAAAGGGTTCGAATAATTATATTATTATTAATCACCTCAAGAAATCCACTATTATTATTATAAATCCTTAATTTAGTAAGTTTCTCACCAGAATTTTTAATTAAATTTGTCAAACTCTTAGTATTAATATTGTTAGCATCTAAAATTTGTAGGGAAGGTAAAGATGCGTTTTCTAAATAACTGTAATCATCGAACCAACCACCGTTTAATATCAATGTTTTTAAATTTACAAAAGATGAAAGAATTTGTGTTTCAAGTTTTCCGCATATATAAAAATATTGTATAGTATTTGCATGTTTGATCAATGAATTTTCAAGAGTTTTACAAAACATGCTATCATCGGAAGCATCGGAAGAATACCGACAGACAAGTCTAATACTAAATAAACTTACTTGGTTTTCAATTAACTTTGAAATTCCATAATTGTTAACAGACTTGTGAATATAAATTTGTAATTCTTTAATTGATTTACACACTTTTGTTAATAAAGCTAAATTATTATCATTTACTCTACCATCACATTTAAGGAATTTAATTTCTGAAAAACAATGTTCAGCTCCAGGAATAAGATGATAGTCATTGTAACTAGGAATATAAAGGTGTGTATATTTTGCATTTTTATTAATAAAAAGTTTGAGTATATCATTTCTGATTTCTTCATTTTTGATATGGGAATGAATCGTATATTCGATTATTTCTAAATTTAATTGTCTACAAAAACTAATATAATTAAATAAAGGTCTCCTATGTGAATTTGTAATAAAACTAAACTGTTGATTTAAGTTAGTTCTTTTTTCATCCGATAAATGTGAAATAATTACGTTTAATAATAATTTTTTCTCATCATGTACATAATCTAAGTGTTCCCAAGGATTTCTCCACAAAATTTGAACAGCTATTTCACACCAAGTTTTATTAACTCTAAGGCATGAAGCGAGAGTCTTTTTGTCATGTTGTAATTCTTCAAATATCGGATATAAAATATCTCTATATAATATCGACATTTTTTTTTTGTTATTATTAGTGGTTCAAAAAAATATTTTTTTTTGTTTCGGAATTCAGAAATATATAGTTCTTGGTATGTTGTACAAGGAGTTGTTTAATAGTTTTACTTACGTACACCAGATCTGCATTATGACGGAATCAAAGATATCAATGATGCCTACGTATGATGATCTACATATATAGATTTTTTTAGATTATATATGATATATGAATAATAAATAATAAATTTAATTTTTTAATCTTTCTTATGTCCATTATCAAACTTATTGAACGTGTAAAATATTTTAGAATTGTCCAATACAGTTCGCAAATATCATCATCAATGAATCTCCGAAAAACTAGGAAGCTTTCCATATTTTGTTAATACCGATCGGTCAAGATTTATTGACTCTCTCATATGTACATATATTAAATATTAAATAGATTAAGTTTCATCTATTGTGGTTAATTTGTTTAATTTGGAAATTTTCGATATGATATATTCAAAAGAATATCCCTTACAAATACCACAAAATAAGCCGAGTATGGAGGACGATAATTTTAGTATATAGCATGTTGTTCGTTGGGTTTAATAATTTTTCTCATTGATAATTTATAGAGTAATAATGATAATGAAAAAAATATTTAATCACATTCCACTTTCATTCTTATTTAAGCTAGGCATGATTTATTATAATATAGAATGTATACTTTCAAATTATCAAATTGTTTTTAAAGATCACAAACAAATTGATTCAACCGTATGGCAGGGTTGATGTTATCTTGTGTTATGACTTAAGCATCAAAATTATAAACTGAAAACTTTCTGCGGTTTTTTTTTAAAAAAAATAGGTTTAACAGAAAACTATCATAATTCCTGGCCTATACTATATTCCACCAGTCTGAGTAAAATTTTTACACACGCTAATAAAAAGGATATTATATTATTATTGATTAGTTTAATGTCTTTAACTTGATTACTCTGTCAATTAGTCGCAAATACTTAATGAATGAAACTAGTATGATTATTGCGTAAAGATTACATCAATGATCGGTGTAATAAACATTTTATGAAGAGTTCAAATAATCGATAAACCGTTGCATAATTCTTTAATGCCAGATGCCTAACGTAAATTTTACTTAAATAATATTTCCATTTATAATCTCTTATCTATAGAAATGGTTTGTAATGGAAATTTACTCACTAATAATTCAAATACCCTATAAGAAATATGTATACGGAAAGGATACGTTTTGTATACATTTTATGTACGTTTCTCATACGGAATGTATACGGAATTTTTAAACTTAATATTTTTAGAAAATATTTTACAAAAATCTCGTATCATAACACGAGATCACGTGATTGTTTATTGTTTTGTTATGATACGTTTTTTGTTTTT